CCGAAAGAGCCGCGCGTGACCGAGAGGAGACGAACGGCACCGGCTGGAGCCGAACAGAGCCGAGCGGAGCCGAGCGCGGCGCGGCCCCTGCCGGCGAGCGGCGGAAACCCCTCGGCAGGCGTGCAGCTGCTGGTGCAGGGCACCTGCCCCGCCCCTCAGAGGGTGAAGGGATCCCCGCGCTGCTCCCCAGCGCCGCCGGCCCTCAGAGCCAAAGTGAAGCGAGTAAGTAAGCTGTAAAAAAGTAAAAAGTAAGCTGTTCCTGAAGCTGTGCTTGGTCCTTCGGGACGTTCCGCGGAGCATTCACAAGAGTGGCCTTGGGTACTGTTCCTCACCGAGTTCGTGCGATTAGCTGGCACTAACCGGCTGGAGCAGGGAAAGGCTGGATATGATCAAAAAGCAGCTGTTCACAGACCCTTTGGAAGGATGTATTTCCACTGAGAGTTATCTTTAAAATAGCCTGTGTGTACCTGTGTTTGTCCCCAAATTTCTAATTAGTTTAATAAATAGATACGCAAAACCATATTCCATGCAAACCTTGATACGTTTCACATCTATGGTAAATTACAACCACGCACTACAGCTATTTTGTGGTATAAAAATAGATTTTAGCCTTCAAGGGGAACTAAATGCTCAATGACATCGTTTTGCATGAAAAAACTTTCAGAAGGTCGTTTTGCATGAAAAAACTTTCAGAAGGTATGTACCACCCTCTTGGGGAAGAAGTTGAGTCGAATGTATATTACCAACAAAGCAAATTGCTTAAGATAAAATTAACTAAAAATAGAATAATAGAAATGGCATAACTTTTCAAAAACATTTTCTTTGATAATAGATTCAGGACTGTTAGGCTTTCTGTGTGGATTGTGGTGCCCTATGACTGAATCTAAGTGCAGATGAGAAAAACTTGAGACAGTTCATCTGGCAGGACTGAAGTATGAGGCACCTGTCAGTGTCCGTGCTTTGTCTTTTTCATTCAAATAAGCTCCTTTGGCTTTGATTTTATGCAAAGAGCAAAATACAAAAATTTGGTGGAGCATCCCTATATTGTTAAATTAATATAATATCCTTCTATATAGCCTTCTTTATACATATATATATATATATATATATATACACACATATTCTTTATACATATGATGCTAAATCATCATATTACTGTCACTTCATCAAGAAAAACAAACAAAACCAAACCAAATCAGGAAATGCACACAGAAACAAGCAAATACAGAAGAAAATTCAAGCTGATATCCACATTTCCCAGCATTCACCATTGGTGACATTCAAATTATTTTAAAAACTGAAAGCTCCTTTTCACAGCTCATTCCTAAAACATTTAAAATGGTGCAGCATGAACAGTTGTGTTTTGCTGGTTGAACCCTATCTATATGCAGGCTACACTTCCTCAGAGAATTAGTCTGCTTCCTTTTGCTGTCCCAGCCCTGTAAGAGCTCCATCTTCAGGAGGGATACAATTCAACATTGAAGTCTCATTTTCGACACAGAAATATATTGTACTGATACCAGTTAGAGACTTAACCAGTTCTTGACTGTCCCATAAATATCCCAAGGAGTTTTTTGAGTGGTTGTAACTCAACATCTGCTAACCAATGTACCTGTTATGACAAACGTTTGCTTTTTGGTAGACTAGAGCTCTCGTGCAGCTTTTCACACTTCTCTGTCAGCTGCAATACCTGACAGGATAACTAATGGACAAAAGACATGAAACACTCACTCAGCTCAGCTGCAAGTAATTCCTGCAAACCGTGTACATACAGGAATAAAGAGGCTCGTTGGATCTCACGTAAGGAGAAATTACATGACTGAGGATTAAAGATGCAAACCCCTTTAAATACATTGACTAATAGTCAACACTGAAACTGGATCAGGAGTATTTTTTGCATATCTTGACTACAATATATGCTTCTAGGCAAATTTTATCTGAAGTTAAAACCACATCTGGATGTAATTTTATTTTCATCCTCTAATACTTTCACTATGTTCCACAAGGTGCCATTAATGGCACTAACATTTTAAGCTTGCCCAGCACTAGGTATTTCAGCTATTGCCAATGAGGTCTTCCAGCAACAAGTTTTCCTAGCATGGATGGATTTTAATGTGACCTGGGAAGTTTGTAGCTTTTTTAAATCCCCTTGTGGGGTTTTGCATCTTCAGAGATTCTGCTGAAAGAGACTCTTCAATCAGAAACATGAGGCAAACTCTTCAGTGCCAGACATATCCCCCTGCAGTTATTCAAATTAACGTAACACTGCTATTTTACTAGTTGTCCTTGAGAAGATTGTTTACTAGTTGTTTCTAATAAAGTAGTTAGGCAAAACTCATGATTTCTGTCACTGAAATTTTAATTAACAATACAAAACTTACATATGCCTTTAAAAAGGACAAAAACATGGGAGGGAATGTTCTTTCAGATGTCATCTTAGAAAGGAAGAAAAAGAAACTAAAGAAATGGGAAAACAGAAAAGGGAGGAAAACGCATGCAAATTTTAGATTTTCCTATGTGACTTCATATAGTAATACACTTCCTTTGTCCTTATGCAAGCTAAGTTTATTTTGTTTGGTTGCCTTTTTTTTCCATGGGGTTGTTTGTTTTATTAAAGAACTTTCCCCCAACTCATGCTTTCATACTCTCTAAAGCACGTTTTCATGTGTAATTCTCTACAAGAACTGTAGATGGGGATCATAGTCAAGTTCAGAACACATAATCACACTGGAACAAACGGTAACTGGAAAGACAGGGCAGTGGAAGTCAGACAGAACTTTCAGCGTGTGTTACTGCCATGCATTTTTGAATTCCAGTATTTTAAGACTACTGACAAGGACAAAACATGGAAGTTCCTTGGAAAGAGAGAGACAATGATATGAAAATTAAAATATTGTAATTTAATTACCTTTACAATACTGAACTTACTTGAGAATGGAGCACATCTTCACACAGTGCATTACAGCAAACAAGATTCTAGACAGTCTCAAAGTAACACATGGAGAAAAATTATGCACTGAAATAATCTCAGTTTGACAGACACTTTTAAAAGTTACAATAGTTATTAAAAAGCTTTCAATAAAAAGTTTAAACACATTTAAATTTCAAAAGAATATTTTGTACATTTTGGAAAAATATAACATTTACTTTACATAACTGAAACATAAGTTATAGTCTTTGTCGTTTATAAGTTTCCATCATTCATACATTGTCTCATACATTTTCTTTTAATACATCCTTTTCTCTGGATTGTAAATCTAATGCAAAAGTATCATTATTTTGAAGAAAAGCTTGTTTCTGCATTAGTTTCCTGAAAAGTCCATTTGGATTTGCAAGTAGTTCCTCACGTTTCCCACATTCAAGAATTTTACCCTGGCCAAGGACTGCAATGCAATCAGCATTTTGAATAGTAGACAGACGATGAGCAATTATTAGGACTGTCCTCCCTTCCATCAGCCGGTCCAGAGCTTCTTGCACTAGATACTCATTTTCAGCATCCAAAGCACTAGTAACAAATGGGGTAGGGATGGGAGAGAGGGGAATATTTGTTATTTATCGTAGGATAGGTTTGTTTTGTATGCACGAGGCTTATTTTGCCAAAAGTGCATACCCTCTCTATTTGTGGTGAAGAAGAACCTCTATTTGTGGTGAAGAAGAACCTCTGGAACTGCAAGAAAAGTTTTATGAAAGTGCTCAGTGCTCACATCCAAGTTACAAATATTGCACATTCCCATATGCAAAAATAAGCATGGAGAAAAAAAACCAAATGAAGTCAGCAGAAAAAAAAAAATCAGTTACTGCAGAATAATCCTAAAAAATTAACTTTTTATTGAAAAATTAAAAAAACACAAAAAAAAAATCAGTTACTGCAGAATAATCCTAAAAAATTAACTTTTTATTGAAAAATTAAAAAAACACAACAGCTATCCTTTCTGCTTTGCACGAACAGCTTTTATTATAGGTCTCCTAACCAAGTCATACATTCTAGAAGGCACATTCTATTTTGTGAGTAGAAAGCAGTAAGGGGCTAGATAATGTATAACAACATGGAGAGAAAGAAAGAAGAGAGAACAATTCCAAATCTGAGTTTTACAGGTACATAATTTCTAAGTTTCTATTTCTTCTTACCTTGTTGCTTCATCTAACAGAAGAATTTTAGGATTCTGAAAAGGAAAGTAAAATTGATTATAGTAACAATTAAACAAGATCTGAATATTAGTATCAATAGAGAACAAGATTCACGTAGCTTAAAACTCCAAGTTAGAGTACCTCCTCCATCAAAAGAACTGAGCGTCATTTAAAAAGCATTACTTCTAAGAAATCTAAATGCTAAGAGGACAAAACAGAAACAACTTTCCTCCATTTTCAGATTTTCCAAACTAAAATAGCAGAATACTATTCCTGGATAACCATTTGAGAGATATAAACTAATGGGGGGAGATGATTTTGCCAAGGCATTCTTGGCAGCACTGTGATCAAAAGTTCTACATTCTTATGGGGCTCTTTCACAGAGGCTCAGGTCCCCTCTGCTTGCAGTCAGTGTGCTATATAAAACTGTCTTAGTAACTGAAAGTAACAAAGCCCTACCAACAAGCAGTATTTCACTCTCAGGTAGAACACAAGAGTACTTAAGAGCTAGAATTTAAGAACTTCTCCTAGTTAGATTATAAAAAAAAATAAATTGCCAGCACTCAAATCCTTTAGAAGAATTCACTACTGAATTACAGAAAATAACCCAAACTTCCTTGACAAAGTTGAGAGAAAAAGCTTTAAACTTTATCTGGGACAGACGGGACTCCCCTGTACCACCAGCTATCCCAGTATATCAACTACTCATTTATTTTTTTCAACCTTTTTACTTCCACAAAATAAAGTCTTAATCCCATGAACTGTATAAAATGCATGACTTGGAACAAACTCAGCTTTTCAGCATTTGTGGTAAAAGAGAACTGGTATAATGGAATTTCTATTAATCTAGCAGAACTGGGATGCTACAGCCACCTGTGTGGCTTAACATAAGGTAAACTGCATTCAGCAAGGATCAAAACTTCCAGCATCAGCACCAAACTGCCTCCGTGCAATGCCCAGAGGCTGTCCCTGAACCAAACTCTCTGTTGTTCTGATCCTCAGAAAGCCACTCATATTGGTGCAGCACAGAGCCTGCCCTGAAGCTTGACCCATACCAGTCTTTGAAGAAAAACATGACGCTACATTGTGCCTGAAATAACACCTTGTCCCAAATCTAGGCCTCCTCCCCTCCAAACCAAGATAAGGCATCTGAAGTACTAGCAAACTGCAACCCAGAAAAATTAACCCATGAATGATAGAGATCTGATCACAGACATGTCATATATGTGTTTTAATAGCACCACATTCTTAAAGTCTTCCTTCATCCTTGACCTCATCTTATGCAAGTGGGCCATCATACAATGATTTAACATTAGTCTTGGCAAGAACTACCAAAGAACATGGCAGAATGATAGGAAGAAGCACTGACATTAAGTAAAATTGTCATTAGGTAAGCCACTCAGCCTTTTCAAATTCATTAACATAGAAGATACAGTTTTCCCTTTTTAAAATATTTTCCTACTTCTCCCATTGAAATACCTCCTCCTTGTTAATCCTTCCTGCCTTCCCCCAAGTAGTTAAATAGCTGTTTGGGTGCTGGCTTACCTTGAGCAGAGCTCGAGCAATTGCAATTCGTTGCTTCTGTCCACCTGGGGAAAAAGAATCAGTAAATTGAAATAGGAAAACAGATGTCAGGTAATTTTAACTGAATGCCTGGACTGAGCAGAGTTAGACCCATATACTTTAGTGGGGAATGGAGGTGAAGGGTGGATTCTTTTAATACTTATGGCAGGCTATAGCTTGGAGGAAAAAGTGGTAACAAAAAATGAATTTTTACATCACTCAGTAGCATCAAGATTTTTAACATAAGCAACACAAAGACATACCTGAAAGCAAAATGCCTTTTTCTCCAACTACAGTGTCAAACCCTTTTGGAAAATCTCTGATAAAACTAGCAGCATTAGCTATTTCAGCAACTTTCTGAATCTCCTCTGCAGTCACAGTAGAAGGATCCTCTGCACCGTAGGCAATATTTTCAGCAATGGAACAGGAGAAGAGAATTGGTTCCTGACAAATGCAAACACATAACTAACATGGTACATCTGTAATTGTATGCACATGTTCTCTATTATGTCAGATAACATAAATCCTACTTACAGGACCCCACTTACAATATCCATACAAAGAATATACAAGCTAGAGTTAATTGCATTAAAGACTAATAAAAAACCTCATCCCCTAACAACAAAATGAACAGCGAAAACAAATTAAAAATTAAGTTGCTTTTTTAACTGCAAAGAACTAGCTCTCAATTCCTAATATTTTAGGAAGAGCTATACATTCAAACATCAAAAGCCCTTCCTTTGTGCTTTGCCACATATCATCATAATGGAAGGGATGGAGCACCTGTCCTGTGAGGGAAGACTGAGAGAGATGGGGCTGTTCAGCCTGGAGAAGAAAAAGCTCCAAAGGGACCTGACTGTGGTGTTTCAGGACTTAAAGGGGCTCTATGAAAGATGGAAGCAGACCTTTTAGCAGGGCCTGTTGTGACAGGACAAGGGGTGGTGGTTTTAAACTAAAGGAGGGTCAATTTAGATTAGATATAAGGAAGACTTCTTTACAGCGCAGGTGGTTAAACACTGGAAGAGGTTGCCCAAAGAGGTGGTGGATGCCCCAGTCTTGGAAACATTCTAAGTCAGGCTCATTCAAGGATGGGGCTCTGAGCAACCACATCTAGTTGAAGATGTCCCTCCTCAATGCAGGGGGATTGGATTAGATGGCATTTAAAGGTCCCTTCCAACCCAAATTATTCTATGATTTGCAACAATGATGACTCTTTTCTTAATCTCTACACAGATTTTATGGCATTATGTACATTTAATTTGTACTCAAGCTTGCAACAGAGAACTGTGAGATAGGACAAGTGATGTACAAAGGGAAAATGTCTGAAACAAGGTAAGTGAGCTCTGTTTAAAAAGTAGAGTCCCGTTCTTTGAATAGCAGTGTTGACCTCCTACTGGTAATTTAAATGGAATAGATTCTTTCAAAAAGAAAAGTGCTAATGTGCCAGCAGGAAAATATTTTTTGCTGAAAAGCTTTTGGTGGCCTTATTACATAAAGAAGTTGTTTTGAAATGCAACAAATACTCAGTTACTCTTATGCTTTTAACCAGAACATCAGCCTAAAAGTTGATTGCACTGTGAAGTATCTGGAGAGACGAGGGAATGAACATTTTAATTGATGAAATAGTTTATTTTTAAAACACCTTTGACTTCCAGAATCTAGAGGTTGCTAGGAAGGTGGCACTATAAAAGTAACTGTGGTGTATTTTCATGCTTTCCTAATGGAATTATGTTTTCCTAGAAACTACTCAAAGCACAGAAGGTCAGTTTTTTAAATGGCTGTGTCAAATATGATTGTGTGACTTCCATCAATACAAAAATTAAGTTAAGATCTTTGTTAAACAAATTATAGCAAGCATTAGGTTGGTCATATCTACAAGATTTCCAGTAATTTACCTTCCAGTCTCCACATGAACACTTTCCTAAACTAACATTTTGGATGTCTGTGATTATGTAAAAACAGATACAAGAATACTGGAACTAGCTCTAAATACTTATTTTTAGAAAAAAACATGTGCAACAGCAGTTATAGTGAGATGAAAGGATTTCACTGAGAAGCAAGATTATGTCTTTTTAAAAAGAAGGAAAGTAAGGAAAAACTAGTTGATCACAAAATTATCTCATCCTCCTGGATTTTTTTTTTCTTCCTTACCTGACTTACTGTTCCAATCTTTGTCCTGAACCACAGTGGATTTAACTGACGGATATCAAAGCCATCAACGGTGATAGTACCTTAAGTTAGGAAACAGGGAAGTCAAGAATCATGCAATGTAGTGGTGGATCAGAAATGCAAAGCTATGCAGGCACCACCACAGTGTAGCCATACACCCCCAAAAGGAAACATGGACCTCAAGCACAGGAACCCAAACTGTTTATAAGGTATATCTAAGATGCAAAGGCCTAATTGTTGCAAATGAGAGCAACACACAAACCATACCTGAGAGAGGATCATACAACCGCAGCAGAAGGGATACAATTGTTGATTTCCCTGTACCACTTGAGCCAACGAGAGCCATAACAGAGCCAGCTGGAATGGAAAGGCTGAAATCTTTGAAAATTGATGTTTCTGGACGTGTTGGATATGCAAATTCAACATCTTTGAATTCCAAAGCGCCTCTGAATACGTCTTTGTCTAATGTGATTCCCTCTATATAACAAAGAATAAAATACAGAAATGTGAACAGAAACAAAAATTAGCTCAGCCTGCCTAGAACTTGCTTTACAGACACTAAATAGAAGTATCTATCTCCACATTCAATCTATGGGTAACTTCAAGCCACAATTCAGGACCACAGTGGTTATGTTTCAGCCATGACTGAATCAGTGTGGTATACCATTCATTCCTGAATGTCAATTTAAGGTTGCTCACCAGCAATGAACCTGTAGGCTGCCTACAGCAAGAGGGAGAATTTGCATCTTGCTAATACCTAACCACTAACAACAATCACATCTCATAGAATTATCTGAATTAATGAACATACTATGAACAATTTAAGCTTTGTCAATTAGGAGCAATGAAATAAAAAGACATTGGTGAAGGCCAAAGTCCCGTTACCACAGAACACAAAAAGATAAACATTGCAAATCATTTACTGCCCTTTCACCAAGCCACAAAAGTCACCTGAAGCACTCTGAACAAGAGCAGATCCTGTCACTGCTATAAAGCTGCTGCTAGGTTTGTTGCACTAACAGACAATTTTTGGTTTTATTATCTCCTTTCAGTGGAAAGCATATTTAATAAATTCAAATACTAATCAAGAAGCCTATCTCTTAGGCAACAGTTCACTGAAATGAAAATTTCAGTTTGAGAAATTTTCCATGAATGAAAAACTACCAAAGTTAAATAAAACCAGCTTCTTTCTGGAACACAGCACTTGACTTAAACAAGTATCTTAATATCATTACTAGAAAAAGCTGATAAATAGCTAAGACAAAGAAACAAAATTTCTTCAAGCCCTGTTAAAACCCAGTGATACATATCCATACAGAGCAAATTAATTGGACAGTGGGGCTGCATTCCCAAAAGATGAAGTTCCCATCGAATTTGTGAAAACTGGCAGTACTAGAGCAATACCCGAGTCATGTTTGTTTGTGCTGGAGAAGCACAGCTCAAACTCTTAATTCTTTTCAGATGCAGCACTAAAGTAACTCCCAACCAGCCACAGCACATGGTAGAACATGCCAATGTTCGGTTAAACGGTAACTGTGGATAAGAAACAAAGACACCCATCAGTAGCAATCAAGATTTCACTAGTTCTGCTCTTTTTTTTCCATGTTTCCATTTCTTCAGGCTTTCAGTTTAATGATGGTAGCATTAGAATTGAAAAGGCAAGAGGATACAATTCCAGATTCCTTCCTTTACTTTAACTTATGGGCATACACATTCTAATGTTTCCACAATAGCCTGTAAACCTCCTTTTGGGAAAAGAAATATATTTGCTAAATCCTGTTTTACCAGCATAATCCTTATTATTACCACGGTAACAAGTAATTACTTATCTTAAGTATCAGTTCCAGTCATTGCACAGTCTATCCATGGCTTGAAACACTGAATCTACTGCAATACAGGAAGTCTGCTACCACAAGTCCTTCCTCTATATATCACTATAAAAATATCTAAAAGCTACATACTTGTCTCTTTGTTTGGATTCTAGACACAAGAAAAAAGACACTATTATTTGTTCCTGAGATATTTGTTTTCACCAGCAACAACCAGAGTTCTGCAAAAATAAAATCTTTTCCCCCCAAATAAGGAAGAAATGTGGGTACTGTGAGGAGAAAGGTGCAAATCATTCCAAAAGCAACACCTGCTGTAGCTGCACATCCACACTATCCCAAGAATCAGAAGTCCCCCTATCAGCCCTACCCTTTACTTCCTTTTATTCCCCAGTCATGGCTCAGCCCACTCCTATGGCAAAACAACTCAAAAACTCAGTTTAGTATGTGTTTCTGAAAGGCCTCAAACTGTGTGTTTGCAAGTTAGGATTCATATCAACATGTCTTACTATGGGCTGATTTTCACTGGCTCAGTATGAAATGTTTAAGCATGCAATATTCTTTAATGAACAGCACCTGGTTTTGAAAGCTTCTCTTATCATTTCTTAGCCATTCGAGATGAGCACAGTAAACCTTTCAGTGGAAATATGAGATACTGCCTTATCAGAGCTCCTCCCTCCTCTCTCCTTCTTCTGCTTTCCACTCTTTTCTCTCTAAAGCTGAATCAAGAGGAACTAGTGATGACATCAACAAAAAATTCCAAAAAGCTAGAAATGACCATGTCCTCAGTCATGTAAATTAGAAAGTAATATGATTCAAAATCATATTATGAATTAAATAAATAAAAAATAATTAAACCAAAAGTACTTAATTAAGCCAAACTTTTGGGTTCTAAAATTTTTTATTAAAGGAATTTTTCATCATCTGTTTCATACTTAGGTAAAGTCAGAAGGATTATGACTATATCTAGTTTTTTTGAGGAGAATCTAAGTCAGTACTACCTTTAAGTGTTACACACGTCTTTCTAAAGTATTGCTGACCCAAAAGAGAAAATCAACCTTTAAACAGTAACAAACCAAGAACCCACCATTAAATGGAAGTTTGGGCTTCCTTTCAATAAGTTCCCAAAGACGTCCACCAGCACCTAATCCTTTCATCAGCTCAGAATAAAAGGAACTTAGACCTAAACAGAAAGCAGAACAGTATTATGCATCTATATGCAATGGAAGACATAGAAGAAATAAAATTAGCATTATACTTTTCAGCAGTAGAGCTGAAGAATCAGATGTGTAGGGGATATTTTATTCCAACAAACTGTTAAACGTGTTAAATCCTATCTAGTCTCATTTGAGAGCTGCCAATAATCCCTATTCACCGTTCTTATTTATATCTGTAAAACAAATGACTTTGAAGGAAAGAAAATGTTAATACACTTCAGCTTAGGTATGCCCTTTTTCATTCACCTGTCAGGAAGAACAGCATCCAAATTTAGGAAAAAAGCTTTGCATTCAACCAGCTATATTTCCAGATCATTCAGCAGAACAGAGCATTTTGAATGCTCTTCTTTGTCAGATAGGTTCACACTAATACAGGGGAGCATGACTGAGTCAGCCAAAGAGGAGAGAGGGCACAAAACCTAAGGCTGAAGTGATGCTTGAGAAGGTATGTGGGGAGGGGACAATGGAAAATAAATTCTCCCATGCCAGAATACTTCAAACAGTACTTGAGAAAGCAAAAGCTAGGAACAAGGCCTGTACACAGTACTGGGTCCCAGCTCTTGGCACTGCGTGGATCATCTTGAAGGTAGCTTGGCCGAAGGGCTTTTCAGCTAATATAAACACAAAAACCAACACAGAACTAAAAATTGAGTAGTACATAGATAGAAAATGTCCAATTTCTTAAATAATTGTCTGCCTTTCAAAAGAAAGACACCAATTTAATGATCTTTAAATCCAACAGAATAAACACACACTTCAAAGTGTTTACAGTGTTAAGAGTTGTTTCAGGAGGGCAGAAAAACCAAGGTGCATATAAAAATACGTACATCTATCTATCTACCTACCTACCTATCTATCTATGGATTTACTGGTTTATTTTTGAAAAGCACGAAGTTCAGCTCAAGGTCACAAGTCTATAAGTGTAGGCAGTGTATTTCATCATGCTGCTGCTGAGGACTATCTGAAAGTTTGCAACACTAGCCATGGCGAGAAGCTGTCTGTTTGGAAAAAAGAGCCAAAGCATCACATCCTAGAGCAGGGCATAGTAGGGGAAAGCATAAGCCTCACAGAGCAACTTCAAACTCAAACACTGAGGTGTGCAAATTCACTCATTAAAAAAACATTATATAATAGGGACAGCAAATATAAATTAGAAAATGTTTTTATTTTTCATAACCCATGTTCTGTGTTTGGAAGAAAGCACAACAAAGAGGGGCAAAGTCACAGATTATGTAGTGAACTTCACCGTTGCTGCATCGACTCCTATATGTATTGATGACATACACAGAGAAGATTTAGCACTTGGAGGATTTATATGCCTTACAGGCATCCAGGAAGGCCTCTTGTGGCAGACACCTCTGGCGTGAAGACACCTCTGCTTCAGAGCCCCCATGAGAATGAGCTCTGTGCAGAACTACATTCTACAGTAATATGAACTAGAACTTAAAAATATCTTTTTATGGCAAATAAAAGTTAATTCAATTATATTTTTAGCAGTGCTTCTAATCTTCATTTATTTAATATTAACTTGTCCCATGTTTTCAAAGTACCAGGTATCTCTCCGTTGACCAAACTTCAATGACTTAAGCAGAGAAGAAAGGGGGCTGATAGTTGGAATGGGTGCCACTGGAATTTTGGCATACAAGGAAGCAGGTTTGTTAAATTTTGCCCTCAAGCACATCTTTGTGCTCCCTGGGATATCAGGCCTAGTCTTAAAAGGCTGCATCGCCCTCCTAGTTTATCAGAAGTAACAGACTCATATTAAAGAAGAATACTTCCAGTAAGTTGTAGAGTTTCAGAGCAACTTATCTTCATTTTTGCCTGTATGCCATGAAGACAGCTCTGTCAAAAAGATGAACAGCTTGTTGCTGGGGCAGTAGATTACAGACTGTGAGCTTCTAGGAGAAGTCAGCGAGTAAGGAAACCCAGAAGGTTAGCACCAAGTGCAGTATTTTGGTGGCACTTTGTTTACTCTTCCAGCTGAGGACACTCTATACTGAATTACAGCTAAATGTTACGTGCCTTTCTAAATAGAGTATGCTTAACATAGACCCACATATTTTTTTTGCTTTACACAATACAGCAAGTATCTTAATTAGACATAAAGAAAATTAAAGAAATATATACTGTCACATGCACACATTGAAAAAAAAACAACCTTTCTTTTGGAGAAAAAGAAGGTTCATATTAAATTATAGATGAATATTTTCATTAACTCTTCAGAAAAAAAAATTAATTATGATTTCTTGAGAAGTTCATTTGGAAGACTTTTTAAGAAAGTCAGATTTTTAAAGTATTTCTTTCCTCCCGTCCCTATAATGAAGCTTTGAAGTGAAGAAAATCTAATTTCCAGTTCCATACCTCCAATGCTTATGCCAACCCAGAAAGCATACATTAGGAAAGATGAGAGTTCACCAACTGTCATGTAGGCACTGCCCATTAGTAATCCTCCTTTGTATAACACTGACAGGACAATTAAGTTCCCAGAAAGGCCAGTCTAAGGAAAAAGGAAAAGGCATCTTACATGTTACGTACATCTTAAATTTCATCCTCTAAAATGTTGTTTCAGAACTTTCCTTGTAATGAAAAGAACTCTCACATTATAGGTGTCCAGGCTTTTGGAGGACTGCAGTAAATTCAACAATTCTAATATAAAGTCAGCCAACAGCCAGCCAGACATCCAGTGGCACTGTGCTATCCAACAAGTGATCATAAAGCAAGCAAGTCTTTTTTGGCTTTTCTGTTTTCTCCCAAGGTGGAAAGGAACATTAAACATTATTCTCAGCCATCATTATCAAGGAAGAATTAGATAGTCTGAAGTTATGTTCCAGTTTTAGAATTCAATTAGACAAAAAGTTATGGAAAAATCCAAGCCTCCCTTCTGTACCTGTGCACTCCCCACCTTCCTATGCATTGATGCTCCTCTCACTGGGGAGCCAAACCTCTAAATGCTAAGGGTAGGGGAAGGTTTCCACAGGTTTAATTCCTTAAATAGAAGGTATGACCTCAGATAAGGAGTCCCCAGCTATGGGGCGTGGTGCAGAAACAGAGGCTTAAGATGTCTTTATCATACTGTTTTATCTTGAGAAGCAGTTTCACAGCAATTTAGACTGATTTAAGTCCAGTCTTCCCACAGTTTTATGTAGCTTCAATTTATTCTCAATCATTTACTTGCAGATTTTTAAGTATCATTGAGAGTTTAAAAATAATTGACACTTTGCATAACATGGCTGGCTTACTTTCATTAAATATACTTACTGCTCCAAAGAAGCCTGCCCGAGCTAGTGCCTCTTTTTTAGCCAGCTGTAGCACATAATCAACTTTATTTGTATACTTCTCCATTTCAGCCACTTCTTGCCCAAAAGCTCGAACTGTTCTGATGTTTCCAATACGTTCTTCAGCTAACTGCGTTGAAGCAAAGCATAAAACAGATCCACAGAGACACACAATTTGAAATGCTCACATTACAGAACATTTGAAAGTTAAACCTAATCACTAATCTACATATCTTTGGATAGCACTAGAAATTTTCTCATGCCTTCCTCTCCCCACCCCAACCCCCTTTTTTAAAATTCTATTAAGTTAAAAGCAAACTGCATGCCCAGGCAGTTTTAAAAAAAACCTCAAGATTGTCTTAAGTGCTAGCAGAGACAGAAAAATATAAAAGTAGGGTTAAAAAATTTGGTGTGAACAACACCCATAGGGAAGTTACTATTCACAATATGCAATAACAACGTGGGAAGGGAAAAAATAAAGAATATTCGGTTTTATACTAAGCCATGCAAAAAAGCCTGCAGTTATTTCCTAAAACAGTTTCACTCATTTATCAAAGCAATGCTGGAAATTAATTTAGCCCAAATACTAATGTCTCATTTCAACTCAATATTTCAACTTTTAAACAGAAAAGTATTAATTCTAAAATACCTTAATTTTTATCAATTACACTAAGTTGTTAATGGACATTGTGATGGCCTTAGAAAACACAAGTTCTCCTTTTGTAAGTAAAAGTATAATACAAAAATATAATTCTCCTTCTTCCATCTCCCTTTCAACCTGAAAATTTGAATGGAATACAACAATTGCTTGTTCATATGAAGTCCCACACCTGGTTTACAAAGGCATGAGCTTCCCACCAATACAATCTAAAGAGGACAAACAGAAGAGGAATAATATTCCTTTTGCACAGTTCTAAAAAGGACATCCCATGTTTATAACAGCTAACATCTGTGACTATTTTAACTAGAGCTTTCCTAATTATATTTCTATGCTTTATAATAATGTTTCCCCACCCTAAGCCTTTGAGGAAAATGTTTAAGAAACAGGCCCCATAAACTTTTAAGAGCTGACAGTTAGGTCAAACATCAGGGATGCATTTCAGAAACAGGCTTGCTAGCAAAGGAAGCATTCATCTGGGCTGCTTCTGAAAGCTTCAAGCTCAAAACTGTAATCCAAGAAAAGTGATTTTCAAATCTAGGTACCAACTTACACATGACTTCATAGGCTGATTTTTTTTATGCTCTCACAAAGCTAAAGCCTAAGCTCCTTGTCATTTCTTATATTTCCAGATTCTCAAGGCTTAGTATCTCTGTATTATACTGTTATGGACAAAGGAAGCATGGTTGTTTTTGAGATCTGTGAATAAAGTGTTACTGACATTCACCTTTCATACTACTCACCTGCAAAACTACAGGGTCAGAACTAACAGTAGAATGTTTTCAGAAGATGTATAACTTTTAGAGATACTTAAGTATCTCTAAATACTCTAATGTATTTAGGTTAAAGTTAACTAGAAGGCTTACCTGTGTTGCTTCTGCAAGAGAATCTTGAGTAATTTTAGTAAGCTTTCGCAAGTATCTGCCATAAATCACAGCCACGACAGCCAACGGTGGCACAACGCTCAGAACAAATGCAGCAAGGCTAGGGGAAACAAAAAACTAGAAGAAAAAGGTATTGTCAGAGTTTAGCATTCAGATTAAAAATAATCCCTGGAGTACTGAAGTGCAACTTCCCTTGCTACTTTTCTAAAACTAGTAGGGATTTAGTGTTTCCATGCTTTATCATGTTTTAATTTTTTTTCCAGGCAAAATATCCATTCTTCCACAGCATTTGGGAGGTTAGAACAAAGGACTATAAACAAAGCTGTCTGGATTTAATTTCTGGTTTTCTTACTGGTTCACTGTGTGGTCTTAGTCAAGCATCTTAACCTGCCAGTAAACAGGCCTACCAGGAAATCTCTTGGGGATGCTGAAAGCTATAAGCTATTACACAGTTTCAAAGTGTTTTCACAACTATTAAATGGATTGTGTAATACAGAAACTCAGTAGAGAAATATCATACAGTACTTCTGGGTAACTGAGGAACAAACAGATGGAGTCACCAGTACTCCCTAGCACCCACAAATGGGTGGAACAGGGTATTTGATTTATTGCTGCACAACTTATTGCTTGTAATGATCATCATCAAAGCACCTAAAGAGGTTCTATTACTAAGATTTACTGACATTAGATCTAATGTGTTTTAATTTCAGCTGGCTTTCTGTATTGAAAACAAAAATCTCTAGAAAGATTCAAAATCAACATAATTGACAGGCTTTACAATTATTTCATAATATCTTCTTTCTTTTCTTGGCAAGCTTTTATAGTTCACCTCTTACAACCATCTCATGGCAGTGTTTTGGAGCAGAATGCATTATATAAAGTTACCTCATTTTATCTGTGGTAAGATAAAACCTCAGACTCCCTTTGTAAGACAGTACAGAAAGCCATTCTTATCAGCAATTCTTATCAGTGACAAAACAGTAAAGCTTTAAAGTTTCATAGTGGAAATTCTTAACACTTTCTAATAATGACAATATTGGATGCCTATTTTTATGAGGAGACTATTTGCTGTCCATGTTTAACTCCAGGTAGACAGCAGAAATACTACACCTTCATTTAAGATAATTGCATCCAATGCAAAACACAAAAAAATTAATGCCACAAAAAAACCCTCAAGAGAAGTCAGATGTTCATGTAATCCAACTGACCACCAAGGAATATTAACTGATGCCCTACACTGAAGCCTTCATTAACAAGGCTCCTACATAAACATATTTTTCACTGACAGACTAAAGCAGAAAGACAAATGCTTGTAAAAATCTTCGGCATTAATTAGATGTGCAGTGCTGCCTTTGCTCACCCAGGCTTTAACAGAACCTACCAATTTCATACCGTATTTTACCTACAACCATGGGAATGTTGTCTTTTTTTTTTTTAGTATCATCAGTAAGAAGGGAATTCAGCAATTAGCCTACTACATTTTGCTTGATAACTTTGGGCAGCAACAGTCGTTAATATCAATCCATCATCCTCCAAATTTTGCTTGTGAGTAAACATCAAGTGGCTGACTATAGGCACATCACCTCTTGCAATACTCTGCATCTGTTGTAGACAATCAATGAAATACACCCAAAAGCACACAACTGTTCTTGGACTGATTCACACTCACCTAATAGAACTGAAACAAATGTGAAACTACAAGAAGCATCAAGCAAGAGACCACCATACCATCATTCCAATCCCCACAGATGCTTGTGCTCCTGCCCTGAGCCCATCTGAAAGGTTTTCAGTCACTGAGCGGCCCAAAAGGGCTGTATCTGAAGATAAGCGGTTTATCAGCTCTCCTGTTCTGGTCTTGTCAAAGAAAGCAATTTCTTGCTTCACAATAGAGGAGAACACGGTTGCTCTCAAACGCTTCACAATTCTTTGTCCTGTCAAAAACACAAGTCAGTCAAGCATGACACAAGGGACCTCAGACATCAACAATATAAAAATCACAGGCTTGCACAGCACTGTGCAAGAACAAGGCACACTACAGGGAAGAGAGTTTGGTAAGATGTGTTAGATGAGATCTTTAAGATCTCCTTTAAGATCACCTAAGAGCAAATAAAAATGAGAAACCATTCCAGCAGACTTATCTTTGCACTACTGATTTACCTCTGCTCTGGTTAAAATAAGCTACCAATTCCAAAATCATCTCTTGGCCATTGCCAAGAATTTGTTTAAGATTATTAGATATCCTAGCTGCGATAAACAAGATGACTCCAAGTACCACTTTTGCTTCTGTTTTTACCTGCAGTCTGCATGAGGTAGACACGTGTAGCATTGGCAGCAGCACCACATAAAAAGATTCCACTCAGCAAGGCACACAGGCTGGTCAGGCTGTCAGTGAAATCCTCACTGGGATTTGTATAAATAATGTCAATAACTTTCCCCATAAAGAAAGGAGCTGACATGGTAATGACACTGGAAACTGCCAGAAAGCCAACAGCAGCTGCAAATCAACACGAAAAAGGAAAGTTATTCTGTACTTACAAGATCGTTAATAGTACAAATTAAATGATTTTTCACTTGAAACTTCTATTAAGCTGGCAAGTGCCAATTGAAATAATAAGCACTCTTTTGCACCCCGTTCTGAAAAGGGTATTTTAAGCCACTGTATAAATTAACTTAGGCAAGACACATTTTAAAACTCTGAAAAGCCTCTGTATACAATCACAGTCCTGGAATCACTTCTCTCATCTAATCTTGAACAGCATCATCCAAAAAAAACTTTTCACAGGTGTCACCCTTAGAGAGCATTGACAGTTACCAAATTCTCACACACAATCCTTCAACTCCTGTTTGGTTTGGGTTTTATTATTCATGGTTGTCACTGTATGGAAGCTTCCAGTTGTCTGGTTTTGAGATAACAATGGACTGAAGTGAAGATCTGATTTGAGAATCAATTAGCCATGCTATTTTATTGGGAAAAAAAAACCCAAACAAACCAGAAACCAAAAAAAAACCACCCAAATTTGATTTTCTCTTAAGTGATAAATTTTATAAACATTCATTTTGTTTTACTCTTTACAATTGTTGGTCTAAAAGATAAATAGTGTATGTCTTAATTGGAAGTACATTTGCTGATGAGCTGAGCTCTTGAATTCCATTTGTAGGACCACCCACGGAACAGCCCGTGTAGCTTTTTGAAGGTATATCACAAAGTATAAAACTCACACTGGACCAAAACTTAGTCTTTTGAGCTTAAATCTGCAAAGAAATTTCTTGAGCCAAAACCACAATTTATTTCTAAAAAGGCAAGCCAAGCTTGGATGGCTGAGAGCTAGAATAAACCACATCTTAACTGAAAAGTGAACAAACTTGATATGAAAACCACTGAACCACAAAAACAATGACATTTATATAGCATCGTTTTCCAAGAATCAACTACACACTTAAAGCAACCATTCATAGGATTGCTGCAAAACTATGAACAAATAATGCCTTCGAAGACAAAACTATACTGTGCTGAAAGTCCTGAAGTTCCGTTCTGTTCTACTGAGCTTCTTATATCACTTCTATGACAAAGACAGCAGCCAGCCTCCCTTTTGCACACTGCTGTAAGCGGTATTTCTAACACCTGACACAGATGGTTTGATGCCTCTTACCACCTTCACACACGTGGAAAGCTTTGTTTCAGTTTTTACTTGAAGTGTAAATACAGCTGTGCATTTACAAGGAAGAATTCAGAGTACAAAAATGCACAGCTGCAGCCTGTGCTTCTTAGTCAAGGTTTGTTTGCAATCTTTCCCTTGTGTTACAGTCAGGCCAGGAAGCATGTGAAAGATACAAGATCTTTAACTTGAAACTACAGAAACTACAAGAAACCAAAGGAGAAAGTGAAAAACTATCTAGTGTAAACTTACTGATCTATGCCATAGGCACATCTCATGAGGATATTACTTACTAGCTAAAAATTAATGAATGACCTTACTAACATGCTGGCAGCATTGGAATATTCAACCTCTGAAGCAGCAGGGAAAAATCCAGCAAAATCCAGAATATTTCCTGTCAGTAAAAGCTGGTTGGTCTCCAAGGCAGCTGGAGATGGACAAAAGCATTGATTATAAGCACAGTACTGCATGGCAACTCAGTCTCCATTAGACCAGACAATTTCTCAGTTATGGATGGAACAGTACATATGAACTGCAGATAAAAATATTCACAGACTGAAGAGGACTATAGCTAAACCCCCCATATGTTTCTGTCTAGTGGCTTGACTTTATCTTCAGCTCTTCCTCATTGAAGAAGCATGGGTTTCACTGTAATTACTTCCAACAGCCTTAACTGAATGAAAAGCAACTACTAGTACCTAAAGCAAACTGAAAACTACTGAACTAAGCAACATACATGTCTTTGTTAACTTAATCACAAATCACATGCAAAATAAGGTTCCCAAATTGAAACTCTCATGCTGATTATGCCAGCAAACCCACTAAAAATAGCACAGTTGCCAAGTGGCTGCTCTTTTTTGTTTCTTTTAAAATGTTGACTAGTTGAAAAAGTAAGAACCAGCAAACACTCATTGCATCGCCTCCTTCAAAGGAGCTGTCATGGTGATAACTGGCTGAAGGGAGGAGTTCAATGTGTTCAGCAACCAGATATGAAGACACTCCAGTGACACGGAAGGCTGTTGCTGATAGAAAAAAAAGTCAGAGTAAACTCTATAGTATTACTTTCACGTGGCTTACTCTGTTACCCAGAAAATTACATCAAACAAACCCTTTTACTTTTTGAAGTAATTTTTTTTTGTAGGCTATGAGATGACAATAAAGAAAATGTGAGGCAGATCCGTGGAACATATAAAACCAGGACTTCAAAGTGGCAACAGGAGCAATGACAAGGAAAGGCGGCTGCAGCAGCAGCTGAGCAACCCTCTTGGAAAACATTTTGCTTGTCTACTTGCACAGAAATCCAGATTGCTGCACAAAGTGATGCCTTTATCACTATTAAGATCAACAGACTCTCTGTTAAGGCTGACATGGGCTTGCTTCTTGACTTCTTGCAACTTCCTTGGAGGATAAGGCTGCCAACTGATAAACCACTATGTTTACAAGCAATAACTAGGCAGAGCTATCAGAAACCTCTCTTCAGAGCATAGAATAAGTGACTCCAAAGTGTCATAAATTAATTTTCTACACACAAAAACAACACCAAGGCAGTGAATGTTTCTAATTTTGCTGGTTCTTACCAGAGCACCCTTTTCATGCAGTATAGTATATGGAAGTGTATGAAGACAGAATACTTGCAAGTCTGTTTGGTGAGAGGCTGCTTTGAAGACAAATACATAAGGATCTTACCTCAGATGAATTAAGATCATCTAAGCCAATCAGGGATAAAAGACAAAAAAAAAAAATGAGGTATTGACAAGATCTAGCAGAGCACAGTAACCCAGAAACAGGTCACAGTAGCTAGTTTTTACTATTCCATAAGCTATGAATGTTACCTCCTGAAAACTTTTAGGTATTGTACTGGTTTCATTTAAATATGGGGGGCTGGCAGGTCAGAAGCAAGCTTTGGATTTGTGAGAAATATCCTTCTATCAGTAACAATGAATGTCTGTCTTTTACCTCTTATCTGTGCAGTTTTATTTCATATGTAGAGAACTTTTAAGCTTAACACTGACTGGCTTTCTACAAGGGCATTTGGAGTGATCAATGAAACCTACCACATTATCATGTGCATTCAGGAAGATTGGGCTCTTCAGCTGTTCTTTTATGGGAGAAAGATGCGCTGGTAAATTTTATATTTGCTGGTTAAATAAAGTTAATTTCCTTTCGGTGGACCCTGGTCCACAATATTTTTGGGTATCAACTCTGCTAAGAGTCAGCTCTGCAAACACTTACTGCAAGATAAAAATCTTCTTCCAGAGTACACTGTGTGCAGTGCTTTTCTTTCTGTGTTAAATTCATACATGGCATCTGCACTGCATCTATTATTATGCAAGAACCTTTTAGAACCACCCTCCTTACATTGTTTAGAACAACTGTGTAACTGTGCTCAGCAAAAAAAAAATACAGTTCACAAAATGCTAGAAAGTAACAGAATAACTCTAGGTTTAGAGGAGAGAGTATGGCTTCTTTTTCCTATCGTGCATTTAACAGTAAAGCATTTAACTTGTTCATATTTACCTTATATAGGAGAGTCTTTATGTCAGAGCAACCTAGCTATTACTCCTTCCATGTCCGCAGCTCACACAAATAATGCAGCAACAACATCCCCCAAGGAAATTAAGGTCCAACCACCTAACTGATCACAGTGATAAGCAGCTACAGTTTCTGTAATGTCTTACTTAAGTAGCTTCGTTAACAGCTCACCACCAGTTTAAAATAAACCGTCACCAATTAGGCACAGAAAAACAAACTTTCTGCGATAAAGCTACAAGGCTCCTTGGACCTTTTGTGAGTTTCATACCAAACGTTGACAAAATCGGAAGAAAAACTTGGGGGAGAAACAACAAAAAGCACCTAGCCTATATTTTATTGGTGTGCCACATATGAGAAAACACTCAGTAAGTTACCTCTACATATATATATATGCCACATATGAGAAAACACTCAGTAAGTTACCTCTACATATATATATATATATGCATGAATTAAGATTTTGAAACCAGAAGAATTGCCTTGTAAAAAAATCAAAATGTATCACCTGATGTAATTTTAAAGTAAAAAAAAATCTGATTATGAATAAGGCAGTGCTTTTCTGGCTTAATTGAAATTTTAATCCATAGGAAAGCAGCTATTACAAACTTGCCAAAAATTACCAAATAAAACGTATGAAGTAACATTTCTTGAATGCCTCTAAAGAGGACAAAACAAACCTTCTTATGCGGTACACAGAAAGTCTAATAGAGGGATAGGACACACTTTCCTATGGGATTAAAAATTTCAGAGTTCCTTGTGCTTACTTTACAATTCAATACAACTATTGTTTCCTTCGAGTGTGCTTTGGATAAAGTGCAACAGACAGATTCGCACGGGGAGAAACAAGGAGGCAGGAGGATGCAAAAAGGATAATTTTGAAAAGGCATTTTTGTGGTCTCACACACACAGAACAGGATTTAATAATCCCAACAACGGCCCTGTCCTCTTCCCCAGGGACTGAATTTAACTGAAGATGCAGGTTTACTTTATCTGACTACACCAGACTGGCCAAAGAATTCCTACAACTACTCCTCTCCTTTGTTAAACCAGGGAGGTATTACGGGATTTACAAACTCCTAATCACTACACAGAGCCATGGTCACTAATAGATTGAATTCCCACCACAGTATTTGGGCTTCCTTTTAACACTTTAATTGCAAACAACAAAATTTAACACACATCTCATTTCAAATATATTCATAGCTCTACCCTGCTGTAGAAGTAACTGGACAGGAAACATATTACACTCATACTTTTTTTTTTTTTTTGGACAGTGTGACATTTGATACATTTATTTTCATTCCCAGGAACCTCCAGAGAGTCAGAAGCTCCTTCTGCAACAGGTGCTGTGTGCCAGCACACGGGAAGTCCGAGCCAGAGCACATTGCCTCTTCCTGAGCCATTGGATGGTGAAGAGTCCCTGCACAGAGCAAGATGGAACCTTCTCCTCTGGTGCCAATCACCAGGGGACCAGGTCACCTTCACCTCTGTACTTGCACCCCATCAGCTGACACCACTTCCCCAGCGCACGAAGATGGGTGAAGCTTGTCTTGCTCAACTTCCTCATAAATCATCCTCAGCTCCCAGTGTCTTCCACTGTCCTCACGCCAACTGCTTCACCTTCTGTGACTGCGAATTTCAACTCTCAGCTGCAAGGAGCAGACAGAGACCATCACAACTCCTGGGCCAGGTGGAATGCCAGAAAAGGTACACAGCACTCCACACTGGTACTGCTACACTCCTATCTTACCAGACACCTGTTCTATAAAATACATAAAATCTGGAAGAACTCAACCTTCCTGCAGAACTAAACAGCACCTGTAGACCTCTGAAGGGATCTCACATCATTTGCTTAACGGTTATATGAACTTGAAAAGGAAATTAAATGTTTTACCCTTGCTTCATTGTTTCTAAATCATTAACCTTCCTCTTTCTTTTTTGAATGGAGCAAACCCAGACATACTAGGTTTTTAAGGACTAGTTTCTCAGTACAAAGCTGCAACAGAAACAAAATGCGACATATTTTAGATGCAATTTCCCTACAACCACCAACAATCCATTTTACCCATATTTGTTATCCCTGTACCCTATAATGACCAAAAGCATTTTCCCCATTAGCTTTTCCATCAACCCACCTAATTACAACTTAACTACAACTTTGCCCTTAAGCAGGGTGTTAATAAAGAAGAATCTTACATAAATTCACACCTCTCCCAGAATGAGGGCTAACTGAACACTGAAAAGCACTTATTATATTTCCATATTTTTTCCATCCTCATGACTTGATATCATCAAGTTGTTGTGTTAGGGTTTTTTTAAACTTTAATTCAGGCCATTTTGTTATCTCAAAAGACAAAACTGCATGTAGCTGGTTTTTAGTAACTGTGATAGCCAATTACTTAGATAAAACCATCAGCAGACTGCACAGATTAAGGATACTTTGCTCTATTTCAAAACATAATTACAAACAAGAATAACATACCCTGCCTGTGATAAACAAGCTGGCAGCAAGTGCCCAGTAAAGTGAACTAATTAAATTTTCAGTTATTTAGAAGCCTTGGGTCCTAAAAGCCAGCTTTAAAATAACTGATTTATTTGCTTGATGAAATTTAAATGGGAAAACCAAGGACTTTTAAAACTTCATTGTACAACCAGGAGGTAGTCTAAAATCTATAAACATTTATTTGGATCCAAATTATGCTGGCTATATAACACCAACATGTAATGAAACTCTGTAAATATCCACTGTGAGTAAAATACTGTGCAAAGTGTTTTGTATTCCACAAATCACCTCTTTATATGTCTAACTACCCCACCTCTCCTCTCATACACCATTCACCCATTCCATGGGAACTAACCTAAATTTTTACAGAGGAATACAGGCCTCTTACTCATGAGACAATGCACATGCTGTCTACCAATAAAGATGCCTTAAAAACCCAAGGCACATCATAATTTCACATTGTTTTCTTACCAACAGCTATTATCATACTAACCCATAAGAAGCAATGTCAAGAAAATTCAGTTTATAATGTCGAAAATACCAGCGTTAAGGGTATAATTTATACAACCAGTGTTTTGGTTTCACCGTATAGACACTAGAAAATAAACAATTTTCAAAACATCTTACAAAAGTTTCAAGCAAGAAAGTTACTTAGGGACAGAATTTCAGTTTATTTTTAAAAAGTAAACGCATCAGGTTCCCCTTTTTACTTAATTTCATATAGTCTTGGGCCCAAATTTATTGCAGGCAGATTGTGAAGCCAGCGCTGAACATGCACAGAGATATTAAACAAACGGAACCGAGTTCTGTTAACTTCCAAAACTTTTGCCTACCCTTCAAAAACCAACAGATTAAGAGATGGCAAAGTGAGAAGAGTGGGGAGAATGTATGTTTTTAGGTTTTCACACGTATGGAAGGCTCGCTCGAAGATTCCGCGCTGCGCTGGGATGCTGCCAGCAGGGCCGGTTCTCCCGGCAAACACGACCTTCTCCTTCGCCCCGGCGTCCGGGGGCGCATCCCGGCCGCGCACCCCCTCCTTGCGGGGCGCCCGCCGCCCCCTCCCGCTCGGGCAAAGCCCCGGGGCGGCCCCGGTACCTGTCAGTCTCCGGCGCTCGGNGGGCAGCGGGACGGGCCGAGCCGGGCGGGCCGTCCTCCCTGTGAGGGGCGGTGGGGGGCTCCGTGCGACCTGGACTGCGCTTGCCCCGCGCCCAGGCTTAGGGCGATTTTTTGGAGTAATTGTCTCCCGTTGGAAAAGGCAGTGCAGAGCGTGGCCGCTTCCCGCGGACCAGGAAGGCGGGAGGCGCCTTTCGGCGGGGTCGTCCTGACCGAACCCGTGTTTCGCAAACAAATCAGTTGGTTTGGAAAAGACCTCTGCCACCATCAGGTCCAACCCATGACCAAACACCACCCTGTCAATTAGACCATGGCACCCAGAGCCACGTCCAGTCGTTTCTTAGACACCTCCAGGGACAGTGACTCCACCACCTCCCTGGGCAGCACATTCCAGTATCCAATCACCCTTTCTGTGAAGAAATTCCTCCTAATGTCCAACTTTAAACCTCCCGTGGCACAGCTTAGGACTGTGTCCTCTTGTCCTGTTGCTGGCTTCCTGGGAGAAGAGGCCAGCTCCCACTTGGCTACAGCCTCCTTGTCTTGTAGCTGGTTGTAGAGAGCCGTCAGGTCACACCTGAGCCCCCCGTAGGCTAAACAACCGAGCTCTGGAAAACTACCGAGGCTGTTAAAGGGGGAAAAGCTCAAAGAGTGGATTTTAGTGAGAGGGTTGGTGAGTTGACCCTGTTGTGGCCGGAGGAGCCTCATGCCACTGCAGGTTGTGTGCCATGGTGTGTGTGCTCCAGGGGCCAGCGCTGGATTCCCCACACCAGCCCCAGGGTGGCTGCCCCCCGTCTCTGAGGGCTGGGGACTGGGACACAGGACAGAGCAAACTCCAAACCTGGGTGTGATGCCAGGGCAGGGCAGGGCTGGTCCCTGCCTCTATGGGGTGCTGGAAGGTGCAGAGAGGAAACCCAGTGAATGCAGGGAAGGATACAGGTGAAAGCACCACAAGAAAGGTACACACAGGAAAGTTTGCAGAGATGAGAGTTTATGTCTTGCAGTGAAGCTTCTGGTGCTGTCAATCCTGTACTCTCCCCAGGTTATCTGGCTGGATGTATGAAAGCTGATGGGGTTAGATGCTGGAGATTAAAATGAAAACATTAAATGTCTATTTAGTTACTGTATGATACTGAAATAGTTTTGTAGCCTCTCTGCATCTTCAGGGAGAAAAAGCCAGGCACTTCAGGACAAAAGTCCTTGCATTGAGTGAAGCAAGCACTACAAAAGCAACAGAGCATTGAAATCCCATAATACATATTCTTTCAATGTGCCGTTTAAAGGAAAATGAAACATTTCCATTGTGAAATTAAACCTGAATATACAGTTCCCAGTGCCAGGTGCACCCGAGCAGTGAGGTCTGCAGGGTGTGGCTTCGACATCTCTGCGTGTAGATGTTACTGAAGTATGTGATCTCGCTGTGCAATAAAACAATCCATGAAGACACAAACAGTGCTTCAGAAAGGCAGGTTCTCAGCACTTGTATCTATCCTACTCTGGTTGCTGAGGATGAGATGCTGTTGGAGAACACAGGATATTTTGTCTTGAGAGACTTTGGAGATTTACCGATAAGTAAGTTTAAAAAGAAAAGAGAAAGCCAAGCACTCCCCACCTCCTCCAGGACAAGGTAGATCTGCCTAGCAAAGACACCAGAAAAGGTTATGTGCAGCGCAACTTTACACTCCAGTTTGGTTAAGGCTTTGTTTCTGGGTTAAAAAATAAGATATAAAAACACAACCACCTCCAAACTCACAGATGGTTATACAGTCATCCCAAGTGGTCATGAAATATTTGCACTAGTGGAGTGGAGTTGCCAGGGGGGAAGAGAGTGCCTAAAATCTGGCTATTCTTTTTCAGTCTGTTAATCACATGCAGATTGCTCTGCTGTTGCCTTAAGCAAAAATTACAAAAAGCAGCAGCAGTCCTGCACATCCGCACACGTCTCCAGCTAAGCTAGTCTCCAATTAAAAAAAAAAAAAAGAAAAAAGAAAGAAAGGTGTGCAAACATACCTTGCTTCAACTCTAATAATGGGCTGAAGTTGTGAGGTGTTAACCTAAAATACTACAGTCACATGTGCACTCACAACTCCAGTCCCTGGGAGTGAATGTTTAGGGCTTGGTGGATTCCTGGTGTTGAAGTACATGCAGGTCTGGAAGGATCTGTGCTAGTTCTAGCACAACTTGTGCTAAAGGGCAACTTGTCAGTACTTGAGTTCTGTTGTGCTTTTCTGGATGCCAGACAAAAGGCCATTCTCCACATGCAGTTAGGACTAGTTTGTCCAGAGCTGTTTTACAGCATGACCCCAGTTTATCACTGCAGCAGCACACAGCAGTCTCTGCCCTTATTTGCCCTGTCCCTCTCCACGAATGACAAAGCATCAGTGGCTGTTGCAAAGCTGGGCTGGCCTAAGGCAGACATCAGAGAGCACATGTAGCATCACTGCTGTCCAGAGAACAAGAAACAACTTCTGGCAGGAGTGGTTTGTTATCTAGCAGCCTTTCTCCCCCTTATTGTCCACCTGCCTCATCACTTCCAGGAACTTCCCAAGTTTCATGTGCAGTCCAGCCTTTGGATATTTCAGAGGGGTATTGCTGTGTCTCCGAACAGAACTATGGCACTTACTCCTGTCTAGGGTAGCCCGCTTGTCTAAGTGTAAAAATGGAGTCTGATCTGGCATCTTCCAAATTAGGGGCAGGCTGTTCAAGATATCCCTGAATATCCCAAAGAATATCCCAAGATCAAAGGTTTCTTTGAGATGGAAAAAGGCTGCTACAGCCTACCTCTGTTAAATAATTTTAAGCCACAGGAAAAACAAACAAACAAACCAAAACAACGAAAAAGGCAAAAGTCGAACAAACAAACAAAAAACAAACAAGAAACATCCCAACCCAAACCCCAGGCTTGATATTTACAGGCCATTTACAAGGAATGCAGGGTAATCATTTTGATTAGCTGTCTGACCAGCCCCACTGCTGCCCTGCCAGGGCTGCTAGAATAAATGTCGATGCATGATGTGCAGCAAAGTGAACAGAAACATCACTTTTCAGTGGGGGAAAGGAGTGATAATAAAGAAACAGAACTAGACACCATGATCCTGGTCTTGTGCACTGACACTCATAGCTCCTAAGCTGCCCCCAACCCATTCTCCAGAGCTGGCACAGCAATCCCAGCATACCTTCTCCCTTTGGCAGCCCGGTAGAGGGATTAGGATGGAGTTACTTCCTTGTGTTCTCAGGCAAAGTGTCAGAGGAGCACTGCACATGTGCTGATATGCTTGTGCAGCACCAAACACTATAAAATATATATAAATAAATATATAAAAATATATATAAATATATAAATATATATTTTATATATAAATAATAAATATATAAAAATATATATTTATATATATATAAAATATATATATAAATATATATATATATATATATAAAATATCAGCTGTTGTTAGCTGTTCCCCCATCTGTATATTCTAAAATATTGTTGTTATCAAGCTTGTCATAAACAGAAGACTACGACTTCATTGAAGATCACAAACCTGTGCAGAGAAGAAAATTTTATCCTAAAAGGATCCTTTTATCCTAAAAGGAACTGCAAAGACCTGGACTAGGTTTTTATCCTAAAAGGAACTGCAAAGACCTGGACTAGGTAGGAAATCAGGGCTACTGATAAAACAGGCTTCTGAAATTGCCTCCTTCCTCCCCTAACCCTCAGCTTAATGCAAGAGTAACGCTTGTAATATAAAGTTATTTTTATAACTTCTACAGCTTCCTTGTTCAACAACTTCCTTGTCCCAAGAAGACCAGGTCTTCCTGTTTCTTCAAGAGAGGTTTAAAATTGTTAACAAAAATTACCAGTCCAGAAGAAAAATTTTATTAGTATTTTGTACTTAAAGTACACTGAGCAGGGTGAACATTGGTATTTCAGTCAGTTTGGGTTCCTATCCAGTAATTTTTTTTTCAAAAAAACCCTCATAGCTGATGTGCAGCATGCCAGGATAATCTTTGGCAAGGGACATCCAGGCACTTAATTTTACTGTCACATTGGTGTCTTGTAGTGGTACAGTTTTAGAGCCTAGCTCACCGTAAGCAACTAGACACAACTCAGAAGAAAGGCCATTTCAGGACTTTGTTGAAGAACCCACAGAGCCCAGAGGTCTAACAAAAGGCAGCACGTGTTGAAAGAAGGTTAGCAACATGGCCTGAAGTCCTTTTTATTTTTCTTGGTGAACCCGAAGGACCTGTTAATGGAAATACCATTTCTGTAAAATGTTTTTTGACCTAAAAACACTTGTAAAAGACAGTGTTTTCACAAAATGACAAGAATGGGGAGGAATAGGATGAAGGAATTAAGACATTTAGACTGAACAGTGTGGCAGCACATTGCTTGGGAGATGCCTGTGCTGAAAGTGAGAAGGGCAACTTTAGTATAGACCTATGAATTTATTTATCAATTTATGAGAGCACATAACCTTTCCTTTCCTTTCCTCAGTATTCAGTGGCTAAGCATGGACTTTTTCATGTTAGCTTTGTCTGTACCTGCTGTGGCCTGGACTACCTCACACCCTGCTAAGTTTTCCTCTTCAGTGACTTTATCAAGAAGTTAGGGAACAGAACAGAATTATCATTTAACAAATGTCAAAACCAAGGAAATATTTTTCCCCACTCATAAAATCATGGTGCAGAACTTGCTGCAGCAAACTGTGGAAACTACAAGTATGTATCTGATTGATAAAAGAGCTGAGTCTGTTTTAGATGAAACTAAATGCATCATCAGCTACATAGTCTGCAGTGACAGTGGTCTACTGTAACAAACCCAAACCCCCAGCACACCTACCTGTGAGAAGACAGGATTGTGTAAACCATGAAAGGACCACTGTCCATTTGTCCTCTTTTCCTCAGTATCTCCTGACAGCCACTGGCTGGTACCATGCAGGGCCTGGTGCCCTGTGCATCCTTCAGGAGGCACATGAAGTAAAAAGTTTTGCAGGGGAAGCAGGACCCTGTTACCCAACTGAGAACTATGTTACACACATGGACACACAAACTGAAAGATCCTCCTATGACGTTTCTTAACATTTTTGAGTGCTTAACTATGTCAACTTAAGTGCTTTTGTGGTTTTTGGTATACATTTAAAATAGAAAGTGGTCCATGCAAGTATACTGATTTCTGAACTAGATAGGTAATAGAGACTACAGTCCAAATTTTGCTAGACTTTATGGTATTTCTTCCTTCTACTCATACTTTCCTCCCAATTCTGCCTTAAAATTCAGCCTGTCAATCAACTGCAGGCATTCTTTATAGTCTAGATTATTTCCCAGCATCCTTCAAAGAACACCAAAAACTCTCCACACAGTACATTGTTGTTTATAGGTTTGAAGCACGTAATTAATGATTGTTTTTCCAATTAATTAATGTAATTGTTTTACATCTTTTAGCCTATGTGCATGTAACAGGATTTGCTTCTGAAGTCTCTTTACTCTTGTCACTTTTACAAGCAATACTTCAGAGCAACCCAAGTAATAAGCAGCCTAATTCTGTTGTAAGAAGATGTTAATAGGAAACTTTACTCTCTGCCCATCTTGTTCTTATTTCTCCTCCCTCTTCCCCTTCCCTTCCTCCCCTCCCCTTTTGGTTGCTGTTTGCTCTACTTCAGGACCAAAACTCCAGCTGCTCTGAATCTAAACACTGCTAAGAACATACGGTAACAAACGGCAAAACGAGTTCCAGTGAGCACTGGTGGGCTATATTCTTCCTGGGTATTCACAAAGGCATTCAGTCAAAAGAGTCATTTCACAATGAAATCTTTGGGCTGGAATCTAAAGAATTGAGCAAAACCACTCTAAACAACTAAAGGGATTATTGCAGGTTGAAGAATATCATGTGTTTGGTCTGGTGAGCAGTACTGGCTCAACAGAGCGGATGGAGGTCGCTGTAGTAGAGACCTGCATATCACAACACAACCATCAGCAACACAACCATCTTCCATTCATTTTTCTTCAACGTGCCCAGTCCTGGTCTGGGATTGTTAAGCTGCTTCACACTTCTGACATGCAGCCGTCAGAAGATCAGCAGTGCCATTCAGCTCCAGAGGGGTTTCTGGTACTCCTGGCACTGAGCCACAGCACATGCTCGTGTTAATGTCAGAAAGGTCAAACACTTTTCTGGTAAAAGATTGTTGTAGTTTACTGTTTTGTAAATACACAATAAAATAACGTGGCAACTGTGAGTTGTTGTCTGAACTCTCAGACTGTTTAGATGTTCAAGAGAATTTTCTCATGAAAATCCAGAAGGGCTGAGGGAAGCTGACGGGAATTATCATTTAATACCCACAGCCTGTCTAGAAAACATTGCTTGGAAGAGGCATTTTGAAAGATCCAACCACAAAATAAAGGTCATGTAGTGCTACAGAATGAGGCCTTCTGGTGCACACTGTTAACCTCAGGGGGTACCTAGATCCTCCACATACACATCAGCTGACCTACAAAGCTGTACCAATATCCCACTCCATGGTGTGTCCCATCAGCTCCGTGGAAAGCAAATATGGTGACGTCAAAACAGCACCAAGTGAATGAGACCAGCAGATTCAGCCTCTAAGTGGGGTCTGGCTCAAGAAGTGCAGGGGGAACTGCTGCCCTCTTCTTCTCATACAAGTCAGAGCAAACTTCCCAGAAAGGGACCAAACAATTTTTATTTTTCTTTTTAAACTAAATGCTTTTAATAGAAAACAAAATACAAAATAACTCTTTCCAGAAAGCAGAAATATTTAATCTCTCCAAATGACAAACTAGAACGTGCTTTTTCTGCAGATCCTTGTAAATGCTGATGATTTATCTCACAAACTGTTCATGAAACTGGTATTGCAACATTTGAGAAAAATCCAACACTGGCAGAGCTGCCTCTGTGTACACACAATAATTTAGTAATACTATTTTATTTCCCATGTCATTTTGTGTGTTTCTCCTCATCCCCCTCTCCCTAGACTGCCAACTTCCATTTATGGAAATCTTTCTGTGAGGTGCAGTGGTGGGTTGCCATGCCCTGTTTCCATCAGGAGTCCCAACTTGGCTGTTTCCATTCTATGGTGCCCTCCCTCCAGACAAGGCAAGTTGTTCATTATCCTTAAAGCCACCGCTCTGTCCCCACTGTCCTCCCATCCTCAAAACACAGTGCAACCAGAGTCAGAAAATTTCCTAATTAATGGAACATAAATACACATAATCACAGCTAGTACCAGGAACCAAACCCAAACAACAATGCAGAGATGGGCCCCAACTGAGGTCAGATTTCCTTGCCCTTACTAAAAAAGAACAAAGGTATTTTCTCCTTCTTTAGTCAAAAATATTCCAGAAGTGCTATATGGAGCTGAAATATTTAGGACCACTATCACTGTAGAAAATACATGATGTTCTTTTAATAGAAGGGTCTTAAAAATGCTGGTCCTCTGCAATACCAGGAAAGCAAAAGCAAAACAAAACAAAAACCACTTGGCCAGTAGTTCTCCACACACTCAAGCCAAATTAACAGTAGGTAAGATGTGCCCATCAATCAATGAAGGATATTTAAGTGCAGGTCACCAGTTTATCTGGTTGGCAGTTTCACTTGTCTGGGCCAGGCTTTCAGTTTCCCCAAGCTACTGGATTTACTCCCCCTTTTCCCATTCCTACAAGTACAAAAGTAGAATGTATATGTATTTTCATCAATCCTCCTTTTTTTCCTTATTCTGTTCAACAGCACAGGCATTTTTGTGACATCTTAAAGCATTTGCATCACTCTGAACATGCCTTTCAAGGGGGCAGAGGAAGAGAAGTGTTTCACAGTCAGTAATCTCAGCTTGCAATGGACTCCGGCATTCAAGACACCCACCCACTTCCCTAAGACAAAAAGCAAAATTAATGTTCCTGATTTTCTTGTGCAATTCCAGTCACTAGAAGAAGATTACAGGCCATGAACTGTACGCTCAGTACGTTATTCATCTGTCCGGTATATACACCAACCAGTTCACTGGAAGACCCATCCGCAGGGGCATTGCAGTAAGTGTTCCGGATGTCCCAGACCCGAACCGAGTTGTCCATCGACGCCGAAGCAATTAAACTACTGTCGGGGCTAAAAGTAAGGCTGGTTATGTTGTCTGTGTGCCCCCTCAGTTCTTTGTAAAGAGTTCCTGATGCCAAGTCCCACAGCTTCAGCCGCTGGTCTTCACCTGCCGATGCCAGGTACTTGCCGTTGGGGGAAAAGGCGAGCGCCAGCACGGGGCCCCGGTGCCCGGTGAAAAGCCGTACCGAGTTGCCCTGCTGAGTGCTCCACAGGCGCACGGTTTTGTCCGTGGAGCCCGTCGCTAAGTAGTTGGAATTGGGGTGGAACTTGATGCAGTCCACGTCCGCCAAATGGCCCGCGTATATTCGCAGCGGGTACGTCCGATCAAACGACCAGAGCCTTGCAGTGCGATCGTGGGAACCGCTGGCAAAGTACAGGCTGCAGGGGCTGATATCCAAGTCCCAGACAGGATAGGCATGTCCTTGGTACAACACAGTGTTTGTAAAACTTCCGAGGTCCCAGTATCTGATGGACATGTCCTCAGAACAAGATAAGAGTCCTGAACTGTCTGAAAGGAACCTTGTGCTATACACAGGTCCACAGTGTCCTCGCAGGATCTTCATTTCTGTGCCTGCATTGTCATCCTCTTCCTCCTGGTCATGAAGAAGAAAAAGAAACAAGGAAGGAAAGCATGTTTATCCATTCAACAAATTAAAATCCTCCCCAAGGAAACCAGGAGGGTGTTAATACAGAAGGAGTTAGATTATTTACTTTATTTACTTTAGATGTGGCACAGTTTGTGCAGCTCTGAGACACAAACATTGCTGGTGCATTTGCTCTAAGTGGATACTGAAAGAGATGGTGAGATAAGGCTTTCTACAAAGGCATTATCTTTCATTTTAGTAGCCTTCAGCTCAGTCCAGAAGGCATCTTAACTGGAGACTGCAGGCACAGGGGGAAAAAATATTTAATGACATTTTTCCTTTTGCTAAAAACATATGCATAGTTTCTATCCACTCTACTAAAACCATTTGGCTAAGATGTTGAAAACAGATCTTGGCATCTAGTCTTTTTGTGTGGTCATTGTTGGAAGTGAATCTCACAGTAGAGGGAAACAATCACAGATGTCTTAAACAAAAGGCAGGAGGTGGAAAGACAAAGCATATTTGACAAGCTGTCTGCTTAGCATTCTTTCCTAATCCTGCATGTGAACAGAAACCCATCAAGGCTCTAACATCTATTTGTCCCTGCAAGCTCCATCAGGATGCTTTCACATGCTCACCCTAAAAGAGCAGCCTTCAAGAATAGCAAAGATATGCAGCTTATTTAGGTCAATGTATCTATTTTGGTATATGAGAAGATGAACAATCACAAAAATGATGGCACTGGCAACCTTTCTATCCTCTCCAAATCAAGTACCAGGGCACATAGTCAACAAGTAAAGGCTTTTGTGTTTAAAGACTATTCAGTGAGCTGTGCTAAAAGAATCTCCCGATGGAAGGTAAGAGTCTCTAAAACCCTGCTCAGGTAGCACCTCTTGACACTCTAAGGTTACAGACTACACAGGGTTCAACAGATCTCAGAAGTCTCCTTAGCTTACAAGCTGGGATCTCACAGACTGTGCAAGATAACCCTTGCTTGGGGCGCACGTGCATAGTAGCTTGAGACTACCTTTCTCTGGGGCTGTCAGGCAGACACTTTTCCTCAGTACTGAATCAGTAACACTCATTCACAATCTCTGCACATCAAATTCAACACAACATCCTTTTGTTTGTGAGCAGCCCCTTTAACATTTATCATCTTAGACTGGCCCGTTTCCTGCAGAAGGGGCACTTCCTGCCCTGAGAGGAAACCCAATTCCCTAGGGCTGCTGGACTGTTGACAACCAGCAGAAGTCAGAGCAGCAGAAGTTGGGTGTGTTGTAAGCAGCTCTCTATCTCCCCCCACTCCTTACCTCAGGACCCACAGACAGTTTGGCTTCAGATTTAGCAAAAGCCTGGAAAGTGCTTCTCCTCCAGTGGTTTTAAATTTCAGGCTGGAGGTGAGCAAACTCTGACTTGGCTATCTCCTTGCCTTTTTCCATCTCAACAACATGCAACATAGTAGGCAGCAAGCCATATTTAGCAATGCTGCTTCTCTTCACAGTCAGTGCCCATGGGAGCTTTATGATGCGGCTGGAAGCCAACTTCATCTCTGCTATGGAGGTGAGGCAGAGAGAAACTGCAGGCTCTGGCATGCAATGCCTCATTCAAATTGCTTTTCTACCTCAGCTAGAGCATGGCTTACTGGAATCCACAGCATATCTAGGCTGTGTTACCACATTAAAGGAGAATGGCTGATACCTGCAACATTTTATACTATTTAATTATGACCATAAGATTCCTGACAAGTTACCAGAGGAAGCCCATTCAAGCTGCCTGTATTGTACTACTGCAGTAGTTTCTGCAAATTTTGCAAGTCCAGGTACTTAATTTTGTGCATTCAAATACAAGGCTACTTGGCTGTCTGCAAGCACCTCCTCTTCCCTCCTTGTATTACAGTACCAGGAGATTTGACAACACCTTCTGCAGTGTTGAAACTCACACTTCTATATGGTCACAGGTAGCAAATCTTATCTTGTTTGACACCCACTTAGCACAACTGCACACTCCTGTCACAGCTCACTGAAAACAGTACATCCATAATGCTTCTGAGTCACCACATTTTTCAGTTTCCTCCCTTTCCAAGTCACTCTGCTGACCAGATTAGCAAGGCAGCTGCAAGTGCAGCCACCAAGCCTCAAAAAGCAACAATGATAGCCTCAAAGAAAAACAAACCATAATCTCACATTCCTCCCTTTCTTTTTTTCTAACCAGTAACAGGTTTGCCTGGGTGTCATCATCTCTCTCATCCTGCAGTGCTCTTAAGATGTCAAAAGGGAAGATCTCTTATCTGCCTATAGCAGAGATGTCCTAGTAGGGAAGATGAGGAAGGATGGCTATCTTTGCAGAATGTTTTTTATTGCTCCTTCCATAATTCCCTCCCATGTGCCATCAAACAAGGTATCAGCATCATCCCCACTCATTACCACTTGAAGGACCACTGCCACTTAAAATCAGAACCTTAGAAGCAGAGCTAAATAGGGCCAACTCTTAGTCTTCACAGGATTTAAAGGCTGGCACTATTGCGGCTTGCAACAGAGCATTATTTTCTGATGTTGATTTAAGGAGTACCAGCAATGAGCATGGTAAAATCGCAAAGAGACAAGACAATACATCCATTTGTGCAGCTACAAAACTCCATTTTTATACTAGACCCAAAGTAAGAGAGACTATAAAGTGGCATTTGTGAGATGCTACTATAAAGAAAACAAAATTACTGTATCCCAAAAGAATAAGCCTCTCTTATTTGCAAGAAGCAAGACTACTCTAGTGAAGTACACTGCAGCACCACACTGAGCAAAATTTAGTAAAACTACATCTAGAAGATGATTTTGACCTTAGTGACACAAAGGCTTCACATGGACTAGGAAAAGATGTTGTTCTAACACGTTTGCTAAGTTTCATCTTCATTTCTATAAATATATACAACCCTTCACAAGAAGAATTAATAAACCAAACAGAGTAGCTTTAGTGCCACCCTTAAGAACATCCACTGAAACTAGCATGATTTTAGACCCCTATGACTTCATAAAAGGAGGGATCTGTTTCTTTGCAGAAAATAAAAAAAAGGCTGAAGTCTACTTATTTAATGCATTACTATTTAAATACATTATCCAAAGCTAATTATACAATGCAAAAATCAACCAAACCAAATTTTAACATCCTCACAAGTTATTCTATGGAACTCACAGAAATAATGTCAAAGCACATTCAGAATTTTTGTTCTTTGTCAAAGATTCTATCAGCTTTATTCCTGTGAATTGCTACTGATCAGACTGCAGTGACAATCTGAAATACAGCTCCCTCCTCACACTGAGCTGTAGCCCAGTCAAGGTAGTCTGGTTTGGTCTTGGTATCTTTGGCTTCCTCTCCCATGGCATCAAAGCAAGTGCTGGCCTGTTCCCACCTGCAACACTGGCTGCCTGTGTACTTTCACTTAGGGCTCTCAGATAACTGAATTTTAGTCAAGGGGCTTTCATTTGCATTTGGTAACCAAGTTTGTGTTCAGGCTGGTATTGGTATGCTCCCTCATCTCTGAACTCCTGCTCAGGTCACTGTTTGTTTTGTCAGTGGTGGAAATTATTAAGGGCAATAATGGCTTTGATCTGTGCTGATTTTTGACCAATTTTTGGCTTTAGACCTGTGCACAAAAACTGCAGAGTACACAAAACATCAGATAGCCACCAAAAGCCACTTGCATTCAGGATTCCAAGGCTGTCCTAATACATGTACAATACACAAGCCTATGACTACATGCCAAAGAAAGCTAATACACACACTCCTGGTAATCTGGCAATATCTCACTTTTCTGCAGTTCAGAGCCAAAGAAGGTGACCTGCTGATTTACCAGACAAATTCTCCTCTGTTGCAGGTTGCTGACATTTGGCTTCCATGATGGGCAGTACACAATCACATGCCCTATGAACTCTTGCAGTTCCATAGCTCTATTTTGGGCTAGTCTGACCCACTTACCTGCTCACTCTGCAAAAAGGGTTAACCTGGGAAGCAGTGAACATGCTGCTGTGCTGTCTCACCTTGATGCCTGACTCTTTTCTCAAGCTGTTTAACAAAGCAATCCCTAATCACAGATCCCTGAATACACCAAACTCTCGGCACTCTTCCAAATTAAATAGAACCTTGCTACTAAGTATTTTTTAGAAGAAAAAACAGTGGAAAAAAGGGTGTCTCTCCTGCTAAACACCCAAAGCAAGAACAAATGAGGTTTTGGCGTTTTTTTTAAGGAGAACAGTGATTAAACAACAGAAGAGTCACAATTTCAATCTCTAAGCAGATATAAGTTGCTACTTGTGCAGTTGTGTGGAGAGGGGAGGAAGGGTGTGACTAGAATGAAAGAAAAAAAAAAGGTCAAGTAGAAGATGACATCTAGCATTGCATGTACACACATGAAGGTACACACATCTCTATCCTTGTCTCCAGCATTCTGGAATAGGAAGCCTCTGAAGTTTCTACACTTCAGATTCCTTAATAGAGACATTTTACATAATTTTTCTGTAACTCTTGACCTCTGGTAAATGAAGGTAATACCTGAAATACAGTTTTGCACATAGGCATCTGATCAGACATCTTTAGCTCTTTCTTTACTTTGTCTATAATTTACTCTTCCTGGGTCTCTCACCTTCTCTCAACCCTGCTGCCTGGCTGCTCTGAGCTACTTTCCTTCTAGTTTTCATCTGGCACTGTGTTTTCATTGCCTGTATCACCTTGTTTCATTTTCCCTTCCCAAAGAAGGCTTTGTGCTCCTCAAGGAAGGGAGCCTACTCTAGTCACCTGTCCTTTCTGGGTTGCCTATCTACTGTCATCTGTTCAAGGACAGCTGGAGGAGGGGGATCAGCACCTAGGACTTATAAACTATGACCTAAGCACAGACTGACTGCACCTCAGTTTAGCATTTACAACCACTGTAGGGAAGAACAAGGCTGAGAGCAGCTTATAAAATCTGTGTATCAAGGCAGACAAGTTGTCTGTTGATCCCTAAGACTTTACTAGATACTCCACAATCCACATCCAAAACAGGTCAGCAGAAGGGGAACAAAGGGTATCCAGACCTCCTCATCCAGGATGTCACAAGCCAAACGGATGCGGGACACATCAACAAGGTGGGGCTCAGACTTCAACTTCCTGGAGCGCAGGCTCCAAAGCTTCACGCATGAATTATCGAACCCAGCAGCGAGCAGCTTGCTATTTGGTGAAATCTCTGCAGTGTTCAGCAACTGCTCCGTGTTATAGAAGGCATAGAAGCAGATGGTGGTTAAGGAAGGGGGCCCGTCCTTGACACGTTTAATGCTGTCCTGCAGTAAATCCAGCGCTGCCTCATTCTGCAGAATGGAAGCTGGCACGTCGCTGGGTTCCAGGCCGTTGCTCTCGTTGCGTGAGGAGCTCCCACCAGCATAGAGCTGGTAGTCAGTCCTCTTGGCAGGCTGCACATCCAGGTGAATGTGCAAGGTCAGGACTTTGCACAGGGCGTTGTTGTTGTCACTTTGGAGGTAGCGAAGAAGGTAGTTGTAGCTGTCCTCTTGAAGGCGGATGACGTATTTGTTATCCAGAAAAGCCCGGAGCTTCAAGTTGGACAGGATATCTTGAATAGTCATGGTAGTCTGCAACTGTTCAATGATATCCTTCTGGCTGGCATTCTGCAAGAACATGCCATGGAAGCGGCTGTAAAAACTGTCCACTGTGCTTTTTAGGCCATTCTGGACCATGTTCAGATGGAGGTAGACGAAGAGGGGATATAGAAGAGGCATCACTTCATGGCTGTGCTGAGAATCTGAATCTGTATGAAAAAACAACAACAAACTTTGAATGACCTCTCAAACTTCTTAATGGGAATGAAACAGAGCAAGGATGACTACTGAAAAAGCCTTTATGGTGACATCAGAGAGCAAACAAAAAAGGACATTTGCTGGCACATCTAAGTGAACCTCTTCTGTCACCTAAAGGAGGTACAATAGAGATTGCCATGTTGGTGAGGTACCTTGTCAGAACAAAATGCAAAGATTTCACAACCCTTTTCAGGTGTGAGACAGCTAATAATATACCACCTCATAAAATACATGATAGTTGAATTTTCCCCATTTATTTAGAAAGAAATAGTATGCCCTTTGTACCCTTTGTTTATTGTGATAAACTAACTTTAAAATGCATAAATTATATTTAAAAGCGTATTTTAAGTGTTTAAGCAAAAATTATTTACCTAGCTTGTCTGGCCTGAGCTTTGGTGTCTTTTCTTTCAGTAAAATGTGAGTGTGGTGCTTTGGATGGAACTGATTTGTCTTCAGGGGAAAGGAAGCTACAGTTTCCAAAATGTACTGCAATATGCTGTGCTCTTGTTTTATTTCTGTGCCTGCTCATGTACATGCTTTTCTCTCTCTGCCAAGGCAAATCCCAGCAGTAATTCCTAGTACACAGTGTAACAAACCCCGATTAGGCTGTGCTGTACCTTGCCGAGGCTGATCTGCGCAACAGCTCCACCCCTCCTTCCCCAGCTTCTCTGGGGCTGCTTGCCAGCTGCAGGGAGCTGTGAGGAGTGGAGCCCTGCCGAACACCATAGCAACAAACAGGGCCACAAAGAGTTACTACCACAGGACCAAATGGTCCAAATTACTGGAAAACAAATAGGCACTGCTGATCCTCAAACATTTGCTGATCCTCAAAATGCAAACGGCATTGCTGCTTTTCAACCATGCTCTTCCTTCCTGCCACTTACCAATGGATATTATCTTATCTCACTTTCCATTAGGTTATTTCTCCTTTGCGCTGAGCACTCTTTCTCTAGTCCACACTGTGCCTCTATCTCAATTCTACAAGAGTAACTACAGAGTATGTGTGGTGTGCAGTGTATACATACATATTTGCATATTTGAGCATCACTCTCCTTCCTGTCCCACTGAAACTGGGCCAAATCCAGTGAAAACAACGTAAATGCATACAGTAAAAGCTCTAAGCAGTCAGCAGGTCTCTATTTCCTCCAGGTGCACTAGTCCAAAAATGAAACAAGAGGAAGGACCTTACTTTGCAGTAGGGGAAAAAGGGAAGAGAGAGAAGTTGGCAGGAACAGGAACAAAAAAAATGTTTGCTAGGAACATATGAAGAGGTTACAGGAGCTGGGTCTGTCTAGCCTGAAGAATAAGGGGGTATTCAACTGCTTGCCATCAGTCTCTAGTGGGACATTATACAGGAAAAGGAGCCAGCCTCTTCTCAGAGGTGCTCAGTGGAAGGACAACAGGCAAGCTGCTACAAGGGAGATTCTCACTGAACCACAGCAGGGCCCCACAGATGCACAGCAATCTCCAGAGTGCTTGATTTTCTAAACCTGACTGGAAAAGGCCCTGAACAACCTGACCAAACACCCATCTTGCCCTGCTTTGAGCAGGTGGTTGAACTAGAGACTAGTTAGTTAAGTTACTTCATGTCACTAATCCTCTGCCCACTCTTCAGTGGGGCAGGTGTCACAGAAATGGGAAGTGTCTTGCTGTGCCTTGCTTGTGGCTGGTTGGCAAGCTACTCCCTTCAACAGAAGTAGTTATGTGTGTAAGATATCAAACTAGAACAAGAGGGACAAAAAAGATGGAAGTGGTCAACCTGAACACCAAAACCTAGCACTTCATCAAGCATTAAGCAAGCACTTCACCAAGCACTGAACAGAGTTATTGTACTTCTGAAAATCTATTAAACCATAAGGATTTACTTCAAATACTAAAGTGCAAAGGTATTGAACTGCTTTAAGGTGGCAAGGCCCCAAGAATTCATTATTTTCTGCCTTTGCCTTCCTGCTCCCTTCCCTTCCAAAACTATCAGAAATAATAATCCCGATGTTATGCACACTGGCATCAAATCCCTACACTGGACAAATGCTGTGTGTGACAACTTCACTTTCCTTGGTACTATTCTTCAAAAATTTTATCTGCTTTCTTCTTCCCATGTTGGGGACTTATGATAGAAATAAAGACATTCCCAAGAGTACATTTCAAAATAAATTATCAAATAATTATTAAAAAAAAAATCATGATTTGTCTTCTGCAGTGTTACAGAGTAAGATTTTTTTTACTTTGCTGTATTGCTCCAGTCTCAAAGCCAGTACAACTAAATTTACGAGAACAGATTCTCCTTTAAAAATCCAGACCATCATAAAAACAAGGCAGTTATGGATAAAATTAAAAACCTTAAACTAGAAGACAAGAGAGAACTACAGTCATTTCTCAGTTACCTGCCTTTCACATAAAACACTAATTTTCCTTCCTGTCCTGAGTAAATATGGCATTGTCTACAAAGAGCAAATGCTTGAAAAAGAAAGTGCAAAGAGCCAGCCATCTACAAAACTCAAAGCTATTCAGCACACAGAAAATAACCAAAGAAAAATTAAATATTTCTATTTTAACTGAAATCTCAAAACTAGAAATCAAAACCTTGTTAGAGACATGATTTTCAATGTTATTATATTGCCCTTTACTCATTGAAATGACAAAAAAAGTCAGCTACTTTCTTCTTCCTGATTTACCTGTCAGAAAATTGCGTAATCGTCCAAACTGTACTTCATATTGCTGTGGCTCTGCCAGGCAGGGAGCTGCAGACACGACGTTGGCACAACCAGACTCAGATTGGACTGTGAAATAAAAGAAGCAAAAATTACATGAGGATTTAAGGATTTTTACATGTGTGCCTGAAAACAAAGCTTCTCGTAAAATCCAAGGTATGCAGCCATTCAGAGGACATTTCATCTTTCAAACTGTCCAGGTATGACAAAATACATAGCCCAAAGCATCTAAACATGGATTAACCACCTAGACAGATCACAAATGAGAAAATACACTGAAAGCCAAAACCCACCCAAAAAATCTCAGCAACTCCTCTGCTCCATATTCAGAGTAACAACCATCAGAGACCCTTTAGAAGTTTTACAACTATGGTGTTATAAGTTTACACTCAGTAACCATGACAAAAGCAACATACCACTTTTTCCAAAATACAGTTTCTTTTTCAGTGAGGCCCACCAACCATCATGAACAGGTCTAAAGTGTACTACTTCAGATCCTCAAATTTCTCATCACAGTCATTATAATTTACAACAAATTATAATCATTATCATTTATTAAGTCTCACAGAGGTGGTAGAGAAAATATTGAATCTGTAAGCAAATACTTAGTAATTTTTAACCAAACCCTGAGGAGGATTTTAGGTTAAGGGGCAGCTGGTAACTGACCACAAACCCAGTTGTTACAGTCTTCTCAGACTCTGGAAAAAGTGGTTCTGGACTATTTAGAAAGGGAATTGGCTGCTCCTTCTCTGGCACCAAACCTTTGCTGTTCTGAAAATGGCCTGGAATCTGTAGAGGACTTTGTGCAAGTTTACAGACATGCATAAAGAAACACCAAGCACATGCAAATACCAGTGATTAGAAACCCAAGTTCTGCTGTTCTAAACAGAGCACAAGAAAGAAAGAAAGGAGTTTCACTATTTTCCTTTCGGGTTTTTTTTTTTTTTTTTTCCAAATCATAACTCTCATCCCTTCCAAACCTCCTATTTTTATTACTTTCACGTCAATTTATTTTGGTCTCCCTTGCCCTGCACCACTTCCCATCCTCTGCCTTTCTACTCCTGATTGACTGGGGGGCTTTTTGTTCCAGCATTTGGCTCATGCACAGAGGCACAAGTTTGACAGCCCTGGAAGTCTATAAACAACATTATCAAATGTTCACACACTAAACAGAGATAGGCCTGCCTCCAGCTGATCTCAATGCCTCTAATTAGAAAAAGATCAGCACATGGTACACAGGCAGCCTGTCACTATTCTTCTCCCACTGCTCTCGCTCTTTCACTCTGGTAAGACACAGGTTTACCTTCCTTCAGCTTATGTAAAAACAGGAGGTATGTTTGGCAAGCTGAATTCAGGTTTTGAAACAGAGAGATGGGCTGAGCTCATCATCCTCTCTTGGGGAAAAAAACCCAAAACAACAAAACCAGGTTCCAGCACTAATATGATATCATCTCTTAAATCAGTTTAGATATAAACAAATGTAACTTGCTGAAAGACACAGCTACACTGAGCTTTCTACAGCCTGGCTGCTTCAGAAACTGAAATATGGTAAGAACTAAAGGCTCACATTCTGGTACTACTCAACAGCTAAAGTAAAAAGCTCTGCTATTTGGATGTGTAAAAAATGGAACATTATCAGTATTCAGTATGAGAAAGTAATCTGCACATATGCACATGGAGTAACTCAAGAATACTTAGTGATAGTTTCCAACGTCACCCATACAACCCTTTGTAAAAGCAAGGAAATAGAGAAATATGACAGCCTGTCTCTTATGCTATTACAGGATTACATGCAACAGTCAACTATTCACAGAGATCTGGCGGCCTCATTTCTGCAGGAATGGGAATGGCCAACCACCTTGCTCATGCTATTCAAGAACAACTTATTGGCCTAGACTTTATGAGATATCTTCTCCACATCATAACTTTCTCTGCATAAGCAACTTAATTCCAAAATTAAGGTGTACTTCATGCTTCACTAAGTGGTATCATCTTTGTCTACCTGTCCTGAAACAGTCTGACTGGGCAACCATTATGGTCTGTTCTTTCAGTAATGATGCTAGAGCTCATTCCCATCCAGCAAATGGTAAATGAACCCTTACATACCAGACAGTTCTAACAGATTCTAGTTCTTTGCCTTCCCAAAACTTTAAGCCAATGAGATCTGCAAAAAGGATGAAAAAGTGAACTGATTCCAAAACAAGTAAAATTCCATGCACATTTTCCACCTGGTAGAAATAAAACACTGGCTGTATCTATCTTTCTCATACATTAATAAATCCACCACAGTTTCTTCTCCACCTTTCCCAGTGCTCCTAAGAACATCTACTGGAAATATCTGCTCCTTCATATCCAATAAGTGTAGCCAGCTAGGAAATTCAAAGGAACTCACTCCTGACTCAGGGATATGGACAGTACCCTCCTGGTCTCGTGAGTTGGCTACCAGCTAACAAACATGAGGCTACTGTAAATGTTGTGTAACAGCAACTGATTCCTATTTTAGGCGAGTGTGATGATGTATAACTGTACATTATTTCAGCTGGTCATATATGCTAACAGTGCTATGGGCAGTATTAGAAGAACCTGTTCCTTGGTCACTCACTCTGTACTCAGACATTGTTCTTGTTTTCTAGAGAAATAGGGGATAATCACAAGGAAGCTCTGTGCTGTATTTTCCTGCAGATATAATTGGACAGAATCCTAGGTAATCTCATCTGGGCTCCCTCTTCCACAGAAAAGGTTGGACTAAATCATCTTCCCATGTCCTGTCCAAGTCTCCCATTCACAAAGGCTAGTTAATTTAAAAGTCAAACAAAAGAGCTGAACATGAAAGACAAGGTGAGCTCTACTAAGGAAAAAGCAAAAACATCTTCAGAAAAACACATTTGATCACTTTCCCCAAAATAAAGCACTGCAGGCTGTACAATCTGCTCAGTTTTTACTCAGTTCACAAAACTAAGATGACTGCAGCAGAAAGTATTTTCAGCATCTGCTGTCAGATTAAGTAAAATGCTCCGGTTTACTTTTCTAACAGTCATTGATGGAACTGCAGCATGCTCACTGACAGCTCACTGCAAGCACGTTTGACAAGCAGTAGTAAGCAGCTGAACACATGAGAGCAGCCCATTTTCAGTTCTAATGAAAACTGATGACTAAATTCTCAACCACCATCCACAAAACCCATCCAGTGGCAAGAGTATAAAGACTAATATGAAATTTAGCAGTAACATTTGGTGGAAGATCAGTAAAAAAAGACAAAAACCAAACACACACTTGTTCACACTCTTTATTGATTTTTTATTTTTTTCTGCATGAGGCCACATGCTCGTGCAAGGGCTTGTAATCCACTTCATCTCCACTACTTCACACACTTCTGGGTCCTCCTCATACGGTTGGTATCACATTCTGAGCATGTTTTAACACTGACCTTTCTATTCACTTCTCACATAAAATCTCCCACTGAAAAACAATTCAGCAATTTACTTGGTTTCATTCTTTCCCTATCTTCCCCAGTACTTTTTCAGGGATTGCAATAAACTTCTGATAAAAAAACCAAAAAAGGAAATGATAAGTACTAAGATGTTAAGTTGCCTCTAATAATGAAATATTGTCCAATTTCCTCCAGGCCACAGAAGGAATCCTCCTGGACATTCACCTACAGGTCACTCATCTTTGGATGGTTAACTATGGTGAAATACTCTAAAGGTAGAAAATCTGTTCCTACACCCAGTCTTACTTAGTCACAAACACAGTTATCTATTTTTCAAATCAAGTCGTATTACAAGTAACTCCACCACTCCCCTTTGTCTGAGATACTGTCATAATCTAAGTTTTCTGACAGAAAAGTTTCTCCTTGTTTTTTTTACCCAAAATGTTAGCCCAGTATTTTCTATTACTTTTGGAAGTAATTTTAATCTCTATAACATCCTCGTAACTTTCATCCTTCCAATACTTCTATGTGCTCAAGCAGCAGAGTTTGTCAAAAAAAAAAAATAATTACAGTGAAAACTGTCACAGACACAATTTGGAAGGGAAGCAGTGTGGCAGGATTCAGAAGTCTTAAGGAAAGAGAAGAAAGTTTATCTCCCTGCATGCCTTGTCTCATCAACTGAAGGTTTGGGATTTTTCCCCAAATGACAGAGAAGACTTCTCAAGACTATAAAGCTGACTATGCCCAGAAAAAGACACAGCCTTATCACTGTAATTTCACACGATATAACTCTGCTGGCATACAAAGGTAGAACAGAATTTCCTGCTTCACTTCCTTTCTCATAGGTTCTTCTCCACCCCTTCATTCCAAAGCACCACTACTCACCAGACTTCATGTTATCTGGGATAAAACATTATGTATTTTCCACTACCCTCACATGGTATTTCAGCCTGATGTTTCACTGACTATGAATGTCACCTCGTTACACTTCCACCCACACTTTCATTCTTCAAAAGTTCATAATTCACACCAACTTAACAGTGAGAAATTTCTGAATTTCAAAAGAAGAAATGTCCATATGTGCAGACAAATTCATACAGCTTCCAGCACACATGCTCACAACTCTGCCAAGAGGTAGTCATGGAAAATACGATAGGATTACCTGTGAGATTAGCTGCCATCTCTTCAGCAGTCTGACACAGCCTCAGCCCTTGTTTTAGGGGACCTTCCGAGTCCACATACTGACGGCGCTTGAGGTAGCAGGACACTGCCATCTGAATCTGTTCTGTGCGTATGCGTTTCATGACCTCAAAAGAAAAGAAAGATGTGATGAGACTCTTACAGGCTAAGCTGAGATCAACTTAGACTGTAGCTGCATTAATACTGACAGAAAACAAACATCTCTGTTTTTTCGTTGCTGAAGTATGAAACAGAACCTTCGGGGATTTGCCTCTCAGTACTATGGCCTAAATAGACAATTTGTAGACCCCTGAAGATATTTTTTGCTGCCTAATTCTACTAATTTCACAGAGGAATCAAAAATGATTTTGAGGATTCTGGATTAAAACAGCAATGGTGAACTGACACATTTTTGTTAAAAACAGCTCATAAAAAGGGAATGTCTCTCCTCGTTGAGTTTTGATAGCAGCAGTTTGAGTAATCTTCAGTCATTTTCTGGTTCCTCTGCTTGACCAACCAACAGAAAAAAAACCCCCAAAACTCCAGAAGATCTAGTGGAATGGGAAATTAACATATAAAGATGGAAATTTTGGAAACATAATGCTTTATATAGCAAATCTGTTTGGGGAGTCCAAGAAGCAATAGCTTATTGGCTGAACTTAAAGGTTAGAGCCAGACTTCTGGCACTTCCCTCAGACAGGTCCCCAGAAAAAAAGGAGGGAAATTAAAAGCAGAGCCTTCCTTCTGTGTTTCTTACCTGCCTTGACCTATCCAGGCTTTCCTCCTACAAAACTTTGAAACAAAAAGAATCCTTTGAAGGTTTTTTTTAATATACGTTTAGGAAGCCATTCTCACAATCACCACTTGGAAGTACCTCAAAATCAAAATCAGCCCAATGCTAGCTTTTAGCCCCTGGCTTGTAAAAAAGGAACCTCAGTAAGATGAATGCAACAGCTCCCTTGCTATTTGGGTAGTCGCTGACTGCACCAATCCTTCACAACAGCCGTTGACTTTACACAAAACTTTAGGTGACCTAAAAGGCTTTAAATAAAGCAGAACTGAGCCACAGGGGGGGTTTTCCTTTTACAACACCAGGTAAAGCCTGCCTGGAGACAGTTCCAACACCTTACAGCCCCACTACCAATGACATGAATATTCCCTGAGTGCTAATGCTTCCTGGTTTGAGCAGCTAAATCCGATGAAACACAACTTCTCTTAGAGAGACAAGGATGCCCTGCCTCCCTTTGTAAGAACCATTATTTCTACCAACAGGGCAGCTTTTAAAATATTATTACAAATGAGATTTTTCTAATATCCACGCACACTTTAGTGCTTATTCCACTTGTTAGAACAATAACTCTTCTGCGAAGTTACGTATAAGTGGATGAGGATGCAAGGTTTCTGCAATAGTTCACTTTTAACAGGTATATGGAATTGCAAACCCACATGACTGGGTGAAAAGTTGAAAAAGATTCCCATTTGTTCCCACAGGTTAAGTAACTGTTGAGGGTGGGGAAGGGCTATCAATAGGTGGGAGTTTTCACAGCATTTCCAGATAGACCCATTAAAATAAAAAGTTTTCAACACTCTTTTTCACTCCAAAAGCAAACTTCCTTTTCATCTTCCCTGCAATTAAAGCAGTTATATCTAAGTGTAATACTTCTGCTGCACAAAACTGTAGGAGACAGAACTCTTATGAAGACCACAAAGTGGACACAAGGATGGACCAGCAACTTAACACCCACCTAAAAAACACCCTTAACTAAGCTTCAGTGTACTGTTACCATTCTGCATTTCAGCCAGCAGCATGGACTCACGTGCAAGTGATTTGGCCAGGTCCACACCGAGGCATTTATGCAATAAACTGAGGCATTTATGCAATCTGTACAGTTTCTTGCTCCCCTATGTAGTCCCCACTGCAGTCACAAGTAGGAGATGTTACCAGCAGTATCTCAAGATTATTTTCTCCCCTGCTCCTAGGTGACACAACAGGAACTACCTTAAGGAAATGCATCTTCACCAAGAAGTACCTGTGGTCATCAGACACGCTGTCACCCATACAATAATTTCAGCTTTTTGCTTCTTCCTTCAATTTGCCTTTATACTTCACACTTACCATTACAAAGAACAATGTCACTGAGGCAGGAAAAGCATTCATGAAAAGTGCAAGAGCAAATCCAACACTCCTACAAACATTCTTTATTGAGCCTTTTATCAAAATTAGAGTGTATCATAAAATAAACATAAGGATGGCCTACCAAAATGCCTTCAGCCTCGTTCAAGCTACGCCAATTCACAACGGGTCAATGATGCAGAATTCAAAGGCATAAAAGGACAAGCCGTTTTTAAGTTTCAATCGATTTTAAGACTCTAGCTCTCAAAACTGAAGATAATCTCTGAAATATGTATAAAACTGAAAGCCTACAGAGTTCTGTGTCCAGGAGATGCATAAAGCTTGAAACAATTGTTCAGAAGTCCCAGCTGTCTCATTCTCCTCAAATAGCCAAAGAGAAAAATAAATACTAATGCCGTTAACTAGTTTTACTGATAAGCAAAATAGATAAGGAAAGAGAGAGGAAAGATCACATTGTGAGAATGCAGAGCTACAATGCAGCATCTTCTGCAGCCTTCCAAACTGGAGCATTGAAAAAAGGTTAAGGTAATTTTTTTTGAGGAATCAAAACCACTGAAAAAAAACAGAGCAGAGGCTAATAACACAAAACACACTGCAAATTCCTCCTTCCTGGAAAAGCTGGAAATTAATTGTGAACTAAGCACTGGGCCACGGAAATTATTTTCCCGTCTATGCTACGTTTCAGGTGCAGGTTTAGGCAGATTCCACAGCATTGAAATAATCCCAGTACAGACATACTAAAAAGAGCTTAAAAACTAGCACTGGAAACACTGCTTTTAAATACTCTGTATTCCTGTCCTGACACTGGGACAGAAATCTCTTTCTTCCAACAGACTGAAGAAAGACCTGTGAGCTTTAGAGAGCTAATTTAAAAAAGACCCAACCCCAAGCACATAAAAGCATAAAACAAAAGCATCATTTGAATATTCTCTAGTAAGAACCCTGTTGTGGACAGTAAAAAATAATCGCTTATCCTTCATCACCACAGATGAAATCTGGGGCCTACCAGCAATAACAGGTCTCAGTTTTTAATTTTGTGACATTAGGATAATCTGAAATTTACAAAATTTCAGAATAAACGAGATAAGGATAGACTGATATGAAGATAACCACGAACTCAGAGCCAAGGGATGTCGCACATGCAGCAGCTGCAATTCACAAAAACAGGCAAGTAAACATGACAAGTTGACTTGAAAAGCATGGTGGTGGTGCAAAATAGGATAGCAGGAACTACGGAGAAGGCTTTTGCCTGAGCAGTGGCATTCATGTGAAGAGGCAGAGAGGGAACAGCTGTGATTTTAAAAGAGCATGAATCCATTTGCATTTGGACCGAGATCTGGCTCACCATCCACGAATGACGCTTTGCCAATTCCACACTGCCTCCCCCCGACCCCCCCGCGGCCTTAAGGCGGTGCCAAGCAGTGCTTCACCTATGTCCTCTGCGGGACACGCTTTCCTCCAGCCCACTTCACACCACCTCGGCTCCAGCTCCGCCACCCCTGGGCCCTTCCCGGGCCGAGCGGAGCGGCGGGACCAGGCACTGCTCGCTTTTGGGCCCTGCCGGGGGACACCGGGGCCGGGAGCCCTGCGGGGCCCCTCGCCCGTCCTGGGGCTGCTCCGCGGGCCGAAGGGCGCTCGCTGAAGGGACGCCAAAGTTAGAGCCTTCTCCTGGCAATANGACCGCCTGCTCCTTGCTTGGCGTCTCTTCCAGACGCGTGCCCGCCGCTTCGCCGTTCCCACGTGCCGCCCCCATGGCGGCCATCTACTCCGGGATTTACCTGAAGCTGAAAAGCTCCAAGACTTCGTGGGAGGACAAACTCAAACTAGCCCGGTTCGCGTGGATTTCTCACCAGTGCGTCTTGCCTAATAAGGAGCAAGTGAGTACTCTTTAGTGGTGAACAGTGATGAAAGAGGAAAACACCGATGGCGAATTGCTGCCGTGCATTAATCGCTTCTTAAAATCCAGATCTAGCTTCTGGCTAGCTGATAGCACTGTAAATATAGCGCTGATTTAGGATTGTCCCATGACTTCTCTGTCGTTACATGAAATGTTTTAATAACAACATATTGCAGGTAGCTTCAGCACGAAGACCTGCATTCGTGCAGGATGGAAGAAACTTTCTTGTAGGGAGGGTGGTGCCTGTGTTCTGTCTGTCAAAGACACGAGAAATTATTGTCTTCAGAGCTGTCACTGCCATTGGTGTTATATCCAGTACAGGATGCTCCGAAGTCAGATGTTTTTGGTAACAGTTAAAAACAAGAACTTCAGGATGGGAGGACTGACTGTAGCTGTGTGTGTGTTCTCTGGTGCTCAGAACTTGTTGTGCATTAGCAAAGAGCACACCGTGGATTGATTCATGGACTGCTGCTTGGAAGGTGATTTGGTTTTCTCTTCATGGAACCCACGCTGTCTCCTAAGTCTTTTGTTTTGACCCTGTTTTCTGAAGGTCTGTGTAGTGTTTCCCTGGGTTAGGGGTGTCTTATCCTATTCCTCCAGCCCCTGTAGCACTTTGGGCTCTAGGATTTGCACATCTGAGCTCTATGTTATTTTGGTTACATAGAATATTTAATTTAGCCGTACACCACAACTTCAGTTTTAGAACAGTAATTAGTAGATTTCAACCTTTTCCAGTTTGCACCCATCTAAATTCTTAGGCCTGAATTTCTAGGTAGTGAATTTAAACATATGAAGAGGAGGATGTGAGTGGAATAGCAACTGTCAGAAAGTGAAAACCAGCTGATTATCTGAGCACTGATTTAAAAGACTGCATTTGCTAACCAGTATCAAGTGTTAGAATTAGAATGTTGTCAGATTAAAGATGTTCACTCCTGAAAGCTGTTTCAGGATGGTTTATGTGAGCACAGGTCCAGCATTAGGTGTAGAGTGCAAGCTCTTAGGAATTGAAACCTTTGGGAGCGGACTTCTCTGCTTGCTCGGAGGCTGTTCTGCTTGGATGTAACACAGTTCTCAAGGCACAAATGCTGTAACTGTGAAGAGGTATTGCTTTTGTCCTGTTTTTGCTTGGGGGTTGTTAAAGATTTCCTGTTTTCCCTTCTGTTAACAGGTTTTACTTGATTGGGTAAGCCATACATTGGTTTCCAACTACAGCAAGAAACTTGAACTGGAGGATGAAATTGTTGAAAAACTTTGGGTGTATCTCGACAATGTTATCCATAGTAAAAGACTACAGGACCTCTTAAAGAGTGAGAAAACAGTTGGTCTCAGTTTTTCAATTGCACAGGTAACTATGACTGTGGGTAGCTGGTAAAATTCTGGATAGCAGTGTGTATCTTGTACAGTACTTGACTCTTCCTCACAGTGTCAGATGTTGCATGAAATATGTATTAATCTGATTGTTTGCAAGACCTATAATGAAAGTTTCTCTATTTCTGTCCTGCAATAGAGTTTGTATTTGTGCAGCACTATGGTTAAAAATGGCAGAATTAGTGAGTGGCTGCAAAGGCAGTGAAAATGACTGGGAAAACAACTCTTTTAGTTTTGATCAGATTGAAGGGAACAAAGAAAAGGTTGTCTTTACATGTAGGAATTGTACTGTGAAGTATGGAGAATTGTTTGGATGAAATCTGTGCTTCAGACATGTTATGCAGAAAGTGTGCCAAATTCAAACGTGGTCTGGGTATGAAAACCTGTCTGGATGAAGATTAGGTCAGAGGTACAGGACAGGGTACCCTGAACACCAAGGACAGAGGTGGTAGAGGGTCCCATGGGAAGAATTTAAGGGTCTGTTTTAGTCCAGCGGTGCTCCAGCTGAGGAGATGAACCATTCGCATGATGTTAGGAGACCGGTGAGGTTTTTAACAAAGTTGAAGCAGATTGTTAAATTGTTACTGAATTTGTTTGCAGACATTATTTAAAGGTGAGAAGAGGGAGTGAGTGAAAAGTGGACTGAAGGAGAAGACAGCAGGGAAATACACATAAAGTTTGAGAAAAGGAAGAGAAATGCAACATTATTTCTCTAGAAACATGTATCCCTCAAAGAGAAAATAGTCCTTCACTTTCCAGATATCAGGACCAAAAACTGTCTCATTTTCAAATATAAAGATGATATTTAGTCATGGACATTCTTACTAAATAAGCTCCCTGTATCAGAACAGGGATGTATATTTTGTGTGGATTTTTTGTTGTTGGGAGTGTAATTTTGGGGACCATTCAAGAAGGGAAGAAATTTATCCCTACTCCATTTCTGCAGGATGAACTATTAGTGTCAAGTATGGATAGTCTGATGCTGTTGCCAGTAGCGTGTATGAGGGCTTCCTTACTCCTCTGGTGCTGCAAATAAATGCAAGGACAGTGGAGCTTCTGGTTTGAAACCTGTGATGTGAGAGGCCCAGCAGCAGCTGTTGGCACGTCCCCCTTGTTTGCAGCTGCAGCTCATAGAAGGTGGTGTTTGTTAATTATGATGGGCTTTATTATTGTATACTAAATCGACTGGTTTTTGTAGTTTGTTTTTGTTTCTTTTTTCAGGTCATAAATGGGAGGTTATCAGAGGCCTGTTCTGAAAAAAAACAGAAAAACATTGGCACCGTGCTGAGCTGCTCCAGTGGCATCCTTTCTAGTCCTTCACTGTCCATCATTTACACAGCAAAGTGTGAGCTTATGATTGATCTCCTCAGCAAGTTGTCCAAGCTGGCATGTCAGCAGCTGGCTTCTGACAATGCTGTTGATTCCCAGTTGTTCAGTGTCCTCCAGCTTACCTTTACTCAGTACCTCCTGATCCAGAGGAAGCAGTCCAACCCAAACCGTGTGTTTGGGCAAGTGACAAATCACTTGCTCCAGCCATGTTTGCTCCTGAGGCACTTGCTGACTGTGAGGAGCTGGACACAAGCGGATGATGACCACGTGCGTCAGCACTTGAGCAGAGAAATACAAAGCCATATAGAAACTTTGCTGCAGGCTGGGTTATTTCAGCCTGAGCTTTTCCCGTCCTACAAAGAAGAGCTGGTGCCAGAGCAGGAGAAGAAGAAAAGAGCTTTGAAATCTCTTTTGCTACCCGTCAACACAGTGGTGACCAAGCTGGGCAGTGGCTTGTGTGAACCTGCCCTCCATGGAGTGGTTGTGGCCAGTTCGGTGTCCCTGCTGTATACGCTCTTTCTGGACTCGTACTGTAAGGCAGAAAGCCACCTTATGTGTTTCCACATGCTCAGCAGGCTTTTTGGCTGTCTCAGGCTCTCTGACTTGCAACAGGATGGGAAGAGTGATACACTCTCCCCTGTGGACTGGAGCACGGAGCTGCTTTCTCTGGAACAGCTTCTGAACTTGGTGCTCAGCAATGATATCTATAATGTCGCAAGTGACCGTATCCGGCACAAGGAGGTGCAGTTTGGGTTTTACCGGAAGCTAGCACAGATGCTGCTGACACACTCCCAACCCTCCATCCCTGCCTGGTTCAGGTGTCTCAAACTCTTGCTGTCATTAAACCACCTTATAGTAGAGCCAGACCTGGATGACTTGGTGTCATCAGCTTGGATTGATGCCAGGACCTCTGAGCCATGTATAAAGAAGCCGCAGGAGACTCTCATCAGCACAGTACTCCAGATTTACTCCAAGCTGAGGCAGTTCCCACGGCTCTTTGAAGAGGTGCTGACAGTCATTTGCCGGCCAGCTCTTGATGAACTGAGGCTGTCCGTCTTCTCTGCTGGCCTGACAGTAAAGCTTCGTGAGTGCCTTCTTGAACTGCCACCCAACCAGATTCTGGACATTCTGTGTCTCTTTGTGGAGAAATGCCAGACCCTTATCATTCCATCTGTTGAAGGGTCAATTGACATGGCACTGAAGCTGATGTCAGTGTGCTCAGTGCTGCATGCTTTTCTGTTCAACATGAGAAGCCTAGATGATGTCACTCCTTCCCCTCTGGTGCTTCGCACTCAGCATTTGATGGCAAACATACAGAAGGGAATAACTCAGCCACTGATGGAGCTGCTGCAGGCTCCTAGGAGAGAGAAAGGAAAGTCAGAGCTTTGGCTAAGGAAGACCAGTGATGCTGCTCTCCTCCTTGTTTACACTTGGGTTGAGGTAGACACTCTGTTTGCTGTTAGCTGCAGTAAATATGTGTCTCCAACAGCTGAAATTGCTGTTACTGAACCTGCTGCAAGGCACTGGGGCATTTCAGCTTTTCTGCCTGGTATGAAGGAACAGAGTTGGAGGAGGGTTATGGAACTTGCAAGTAGTTTTGCCTCCACTAGTAAATACTGCTTAGAGCTGCTCACACTTCAGAAAATGAAGATGATGTTAATGCAGACCGAAGCCGACCTGCAGGCCTTGCAGCATGCTGCAGCTTTCATCCTGGAGTCTGGAAGATCCACTGTGAGCAGAGGAGAGTCTGAACCGTGGGATGGAGATATCAGTGCGATAGCTGAACTTAGCTACCCCACAGCACACTGGCACCTTGTCAT